TCACATATACTTTGTCTCATGTCATTGACTATAGTTTACCACAACGCAACAGCTCCCCTCCCACTTCCCCCCCATAGTTACCTCTTCCCAGTGTCCATCCCTCCATACACTCCTGTCCCCTGAGCTGTCTCCCAGTGCATAAGCAGCCCTTCTTTCTCCCATGATTATTTTTCTCCAAGGAGTGTATCTACTTGAGGTAAATGTTTAACTCATATGCCTGTATTTTGTTTGGCTGGAAACCACGGGTGTGGGTTCAATTCCAGACCTGAAGGGCAGTTAGGGGCCATAGTATCAGTGGTTCCACCAGGCTCTATCGGACCAGCAATCCTGGTCCTCCCACCACCACCTTTTTTTTCCCCTCCAAATGATTTTGAGTTTTGTTCCACATTGTTCTCCCTCTCTATCAAGGATCTCCTATGTAGATCCCCTTCCAAGTGGATGACAGTGGTAGCCGGGCACCATCTAGTTCTTCTGGTCTCATAGTTGTATAGGCTGCAGATTGGATGGTGTACCAGTTGCTAGGACTAATTGTTTCCATTAATTTTGGTTTTCTTCATTCTTCTTTGCTCTGGATGAGGAGAGACCCATCGTTGCATCTAGATGGCAGCTTGCTAGCTTTTAAGATCCCAGTCGCTATTTGCCAAAGTAGGAGGTGGAACGATGTTTTGTGTAGTATGTTATGCCAATTGAGCTTGATGTCCCCTGCGACTATGGTCCCATGCCCGCATGTTCAAGTACTCACTCGGTCCCTCTGGGTAGCTGGCTGTGACCAAGCGGTGAACACAACCTTGTCTCTTGTCAGCTCTACTATACAGCTGGGAATTCTGATCATTCACATACACTTATAAGACCATTGTCTGCCAACCCTATATATGTTCTTGGATACACTCCCCATTTTATAGACATACCTAATCATTTAGCCTGTCCACCCATCTATCCATCCATATACCCATGTTTGCCTTCACTGACAACGCAGTACTATATGTGCAAAAGGGTTCATATTTGTTGTCTGTACCTCCCATGTACCTCTCTCTATGTCTTTCTCATCCTCAATGCTGCCATATTGGTCACTCACATTTGGTACCTTGCCCTTCTCTTCACCCAAAGCAATACTTATCTCTATCTAAGAACAGTATAATTTTAACCACTAGGAATGTGTAGATGTAATTTTAGGAAAAAAAAAAGGGACAAAAATGTAAATCTTTTAAACTATAGCATCTCAACAATGCTCCAAAATTTTTTTTCCTACCAGAGGTTTGTATTTTTCAGTACTTTACTTTCATGAGAAGCTTCTCTTCTCAAATATATGAAAAGAGACACTCTATGAATATGAAAGTATGTCCAAGTACAATAGCTCTAACAACCTTATGATATCAACTGTTCCCACTGTTTGTGGCACTGTTTATCTTTCTTAGCCTTCTTATTTTTCTTGGTTCTTTCTTTCTTTCTTTTTTTTATTATGGTAACTGCCCATAAAGTCTTTTATAGTCACTGGGCACATTTCTATTACCCCATAACAAAATGTCCAAGGCAATTTATTTTCTTTTTATTGTGACTTGGGTGAAAATTTACAGAGAAAATTCATTTTCCATTATAGCAGTTCACACACATTTTGTTTCATGACATTGACTATAATTCCCCACAATGTAACAGCTCTCTTTCCACTTCCTCCCTGTAATGAACTCTTCCCTGTGTCCTTTTCTATGCCTTCCCTGCCACCGCCTGAGCTATCTCCCTATGCAAATGCCGCCCTTCTGTTCTCCCATGATTGATCACTCTAAGGAGTGTACCCAATGTAAATGTTTACTCCATATGCCTGTCTTTTGTTTGACTGGAAGCCACAGGAGTGAGTTCAGTTCCAGATCTAAAGGGTAATTAGGGGCCATAGTCTCAGAGGTCTCACTAGGCTTTATCAGACCAGTAAACTTGGTCTTTTTTAAAAATGATTTTGAGTTTTGTTCCACATTGTTCTCCTACCCTATCCAGGATCTCCTGCACTGATCCCTTTCTGTGTGATTGGCAGTGGTAGCCAGGCACCATCTAGTTCTGGTCTCTTGGTCATATAGGCTGAGGATCACATAGTCTGCTAGTCCCTTGAAAATGTCCAAGATAATTTCTTGTACCTCCACTCATGTGCTGCCAGTTTCAACATTCTTTGGTGAATTTATTTTTCCAGTTTTAACAACATTTTTAGTAACTATTATCACCACTAAGTTGCTTTGGTGGCGCAGTAGTTAAGGCATTTGATTGCTAACTAAAAGATCAGTGGTTTGAACCCACCAGCTGCTCCACAGGAGAAAGATGAGGCGGTCAGCCTCTGTAAAGATTTATAGCCTTAGAAACCCTGTGGGGTAGTTCTACCCTGTCCTATATGATGGTTATGTATCAGAATTGACTTGATGGCAGTGGGTTAGGTTTGATTTTATACCATAACCATCCATCCTTATAGGAACTGGCTATTTGCCAGACAATGCATATTTAAGATCTGCATATTTTCAAGCAACCTAAAGGATGGCTGTTTTTGCAGAAATCAAATAATTCACTGTAAGTCTTTTGTCATTTGTTCCTGAAGCTTTTAACAAATTCCTACTCAGCTCCATGTGGGCAGGGATGTCTCATTTACTATTCTATCCCTAACACCCGATAACCACTACCACCACCTATTGCTGTCTAGGTCACTCTGACTCATGGCAACCTCAGGTGTGTCAGAGTAGAACTGTGCTCCACAGGGTTTTCAATGGCTATGATTCTTCAAAAGTAGATTGCTAGGCTTTTCTTCTGTGGCATTGTTGGGTGGATTCAAACCACAAACCTTTTGTGACACCAACAACCCAGTGCAAACTATTTGTGTCACTTAACACAGAGCATGTGCTATGAACATCTATTGAATGAATGAATGATGTATTTTCCCATGACGTGAAACATCACCATTTTATATTTCAAATATGGTAATTCCCTGCTAACCTTGGAGGTGGCTTTCCATAAATACTGGCAAAAATCACAGTTGGCAATACAAGTCAAGGTATTACAGAAAATAGGGAACGGGCAAAGGGGGAAAAAAGTTGACAAAAGTGTTTGGGGGTGTGAACTTTCAAAATAAGCCAGATTCATTGGTTTTAATGAACTCCTTCAGCTGAAATCCCATTTTTCATTTTATCAGAGGACATTGTGGAACATGGTTATTAACTGAGGTACATTCTCCTACCAATGTTATGCTATGCTTATGCAGACTGTACCATACCACACGTGAAGTTTAATTGTGTGCTTTCACATTCTCTTTTGATTTTTTTCACAACCCCTGTTGGGAAATAAATTAATATAACTCTCTTCAGAATTATTCCGTTTAGTGGAATAGAGTCTATTAAAAAATAAAAATAAAACCCAAATAACTGCCATTGAGTCTATTCCAATTCACAGCAACCCTATAGGACAGAGAAGAAATCCATAGGGCTTCCAAGACTGTATTCTTTACTGCAGGAGCTCTGGTAGCATAGTGCCTAAGGCACTTGACTGCTAACCAGAAGGCTGGTGGTTCAAACCCATCAGCCACTCCTGGGAAGGAAGGTTGGGTAATTTACTTCTGTAGAGATACTGCCTTGGATGCCCAAGGAGGGGTTGCTATGAGTCGGGGCTGACTTGATGGCAAACAACAACAACAATCTTTACTGCAGGCTGCCACTTCTTATTCCTCCAGAGTGACTGAGTGGATTTGTACCACCAACCTTCTGATTAACAATAAAATGCTTAACCACTGTACCACAAGGGCTCCCTTAGTATATAATCAGATTTGTATGACCTAAGAGGAAGTTTTTGCAACAATTAGAAGGCCATTGTTTCATAATTAATCTGTCTGAAATATAAACTAGCCAAAGTCTCTCCCTACTAACATTTTTAAGTTCATTATTGTTGTTGTTGTTGTTGTTATGTGCCGTCGAGTCGGCCCCGACTCATAGCGACCCCTCCTTGGGTTTCCGAGGCAGTATCACTACGGAAGTAGGATTGCCCAACCTTCCTTCCGAGGAGTGACTGGTGGGTTTGAACCGCCAGCCTTCTGGTTAGCAGTCAAGTGCTTTAGCCACTATGCTACCAGAGCTCCTAAGTTCATTATTAGCTTATTCCAAACATAACCTATACTGAAACTCTGTACCAGTTAGATTAAAAAATGTGTCCTTCACATTCTTTCTGTTTTTTGTAGCGTTAAAGGGAAAAGCATAGCCTTTCTCCCCTCCCCTACAGCAGCTTTTATTCTTTTCTGGTTATAAACAATGAGACAAATGAACAACCTAGTATTTGTCTGACTCTCAAAATCATATATGGGATTCAGAGATACAAAACTAAAATGCAACATTACAGTACACTACTGCACCAGGGACTGAAAAGAACATAGATAATAAATGACAAAATGTCCTATCAAGAAATGTTAAATTCAAAATAATTTTTGTGTGTGGGCTTAGGCCAAGATTTTGAAAACTGAGCCATTGTTCCCTTATCACTTCTGATTTTTCTCTGTTCTTCTCTTGCTAGCTAAATAATTTTATCAGTGCCTCAGGGACAGGACCTAAAACAATTATATTTGGTGTAATAGCTGGTCACATGTTGACCAAGAAGTGCTGATGGCAAGTTTTTTGTTTAATTCTTTTTGTTCAAGAAACACCAATGCTTCCTTCAGAGAAACTCTTGTATTTCCAGTTTCTTAATTTTATGCAACTTTACAAAGACTTTTATTTTCAGCTTTCTCTCAGTGCCAATGAATTAATTTTTTTTAACGTCAACAAATAACACAGCCTAAATAAGCACAACCCTATTAAAGGTTGCGAAGTCACCCACTCCATTTTTATGGCAATGCTTGGATACTCTGTTCTTACAGGTTGCGCCGTCCCGAGGGAGCGGTGATTGTCCCCATCCTACAGTGAAGGATGGACTGAGAGGCAAAGCGTCCCCTACCGCATCTCAAAAGTGCCCAAGTTAAACCACGGCCTCAATCTGGGTTTACCTGGCAGTTCCACAAAGTGCGCACTGCCTTTTTCGAGTGATCGAAATCACCTGTTCAAGGTCGCAGAGCAAATTGGTGCTGGATGCAATCAACGAGGTGGGCCAGAGGGATAGAACCCGTAGGTTTACCGCCCGCCTACTCTCCCGGTCACATCCAGGCCCACCTGGGTGCCCTGCAATCTGTGCAATCAACGGGAGTACACGCCCTCTGTCGACGAATTTCTAGACGCAGCTGGGGCCCGAACACCCCCCTCCTTGGGGCCGACGGCATTAGGAGTGGGGGCACCGGAAGGAGGCGGTCTCCAGGCGGCCAGAGAGCACGCGCGCGCGCGAGGGGGCGGGCGCGGCATATATAAACCAAGCTCGGCGGAAAGGGCGGGCCTGGCGAGAGCGACTGAGTCGGTGGATTGCGTGGCGCTGCTGCAGCCGCAGACGCGGACAGTCGGGGCGGGGAGAAGGAGGGGACAGGAGGAGGAGACAAGCGGCCAGGAGGAGGAGACGCTAGTGCGGGGTGGCGCCGGTCCACCGCCGCAGCTCTCCTGGCACCCGCCAGCTTTCAAAGGCGGGACCGGGCTGCGGCAGCGGCGACGGCCTCGGCGGCCTGGGGAGGTGAAACTAGGTTGCGGCGGCCTAGTGAGGGTGGGCAGAGCCGCCGCCGCGAGGTGTAGGGGAGGCTCAGTGTCCCCGCGGCCTGGGCGGGGCCCTTGAGGGCGGGAGGCCAGTGCGTTTTCCTCTAGATTGTTCTCCCCAGCGGCACCTGCCGAAGCGGCCCCGGCTGGGGCTTTCAGGGTGGCGGCGTTCGGAGGGCTGTGGAAAGGGCGGGAGTCGGTGCCGTCTCACTCTTGTGACCCTGCGGGCATTTGTTGGGTTCAGGTCTGGCGTGCAAGGGGCCTGTTAGGCTGTTTCTTTGGGATGCTCGGGACGGAAGTAAGGTTCGCTAGGATGTTTAGTCTAAACGAAACAACAGAAAACTAACTGGGAGCCCTCGAAGTTTTAGAAGCAATACCTCGCTGCAAAAGTCTCGTAATGAAGAACTTGCCTTGTAGGCCTCAGGGCTATCAAAGGGGAGTGAGCTTTATTTTTTAAGAAGCTGGTGCTTCACGTAACGATTGAGAGTTGTAAAAGAATGGTGTGTGTTCAGGAATTTCTTTTCAATGATAGTGAACTAGTGTTAAAGATTAGGTAAATGGTGCGAACAGCTGTCTTTAAAGCCCCAGCATGGAAAGCGGGTGTGTGTGTTCACTTGAAGGGTGGAAATAATCATAATGCCTTGCCCTCGTGATGATAGGAGCTCTGAAGCCTTTGTTTGACTAACAGTTCTTCCTCTCTGACTCTGGAAAATTGAATTTTTGGAAACAGTTCCTACCTATGTAAAGGCTATTCTTACTGGCTGGTACTTGGATTTTCTTAAAAGTAGTGGGGTAGATGCATAGTATCTAACGTACCAGTAGGTTTTGAGTTCAGGTCTGTGGAAAAGAACTTTGAGGGAGTGGGCTTAAACTTTTCAGGGAAATTAAAGCCTCTAATTTTAACTTTTTTCCCCCTCCTGCAGCCTCATCTGTTTCAATGGTGCAACTGTCTTCATCCCCTTTTGGTTATCAGTCACCTTCTGTACATTCAGAGGAGGGAAGAGAGGGGAATATGAAGTCAGCCAAGCCCCAGGTGAACCACAATCAGCATGGGGAAAGCCAGCGGGCCATGAGTCCCCTGCACTCCATTCTCAGTTCGGCTGCCTCTCCTTCCCAGGCATATGAAACCTATATTGATAATGGACTCATATGCCTTAAACACAAAATTAGAAACATCGAGAAAAAGAAGGTAATTGCCTCTCCCAGCGTTGTTGTGTATGACCTTAAACAAGTTTTAAGGGATTGACATTTTGCTTTCTATCAGAGCCTTGTAGGTATTTCTCCCTAAAGATTTAACCTTGAAATTTCTCTGGCTGAAAACAAGCAGGCTGAATACTAGATGTATTACACATTTTCTGTTTGTCAACACAGTTAAATAAAAATACCCTTCATGGTAAAATTATGCGTATTACTATTGAAATACTTGAAGAGCTAGCTATTTTAGGTCAGATTAATTAATTGAGTGTGGTATTAATGTTTCCTTTCATACATGAGTAATAGCCTGAATTTTTAGCTTGTTTTTTTTGTGACTTTCTGCAGCAGTTCATATTGCAGTATAGTTGCTGCAGTTCTTGGAAGCTTTAATCATGGTAGAGCCAGAAAACGTTTTAGCACTAATTTTTGTGTTGCTAGGTGATGGCTTATGATTGGTAGGTGAAGGCATTGCAGAGAGCTGTTATTAAAGAGACTCGGAGGTTATTATCAACCTAACATTATAGTAAAAGCTGATGTAAAGATCCAAATCATTCCTTATCTCCTGAGTCATGTAGTCTGTAAAACAGCACATTGCTTTGTTGTGTCATGATTCCCTTCTGCTTGTGACGAGTAAGGTTGAGTGGACTAGAACCTAAAACTCAAGTATTTTTATATCAAGACCTAATTAAACCTTAGGTAAGTTGTGTTTAAATGGAGGGGTGTGAAGAAATATTTTTGAGTCTGGTTGACTTTTTTTTTTTTTTTTTTTTTTTTTTAAGCTAAGAAGGTAGTGGAGGTAATGTTAGTTTGAATCCCTAAGAAGGGCTAGTTATTGGTAGCTTCTCTGAAGCCCTGGTTTTCACTGGTTGTTTTTCAAATGTATGCAATGTGTCTCTATCAGCATAAATTCCCTACCACTATGGGAAACTGGTCAAAGCTTAGGCCATATTGATGGACACTCCTTAAAGTCTTCCCACAACTGGAGGAACTACATATATGTTATACATACTCTCCCTGCCTTGATTACAGTACCTCTTTAATTTTGAATATCTGTCTGACAGTACCAAGCTTTTGTTTCACACTTATAGGAAGACATTTTAAAACCTTGAAACTAATATGGAATGAGCCTAGCAAATGCTTTTAAAATACCATAGTGAGTTCCTATCATTATCGTAATTGTGATAAATGGTGTTTATTTTTCATGTAGTTCCTTAAGTTAAACACCAAATTTAATATGAAAAATGACTTCAAGTTGCGGCTCTTACAATGCTGGAAAAGAGATCTGTTACATTTCTGTACTTCCATTAGGAAGTTTCCTATTGGGCGTATGCCATGTAATTCAACAGGTAGCATGGGGTTAGCCCATGGATTTCTCAACCTTGACACTGCTGACATTTTTATAACAGAATTCTTTGTTGTAGGGCAGTGTCTTGTGCATTATAGGATGTTTAGCAGCATCCCTGGTTTCTACAAAGAAGATGCCAATAGCACCCTCTATTCGTACCCTACTACCCCCAAGTTGTAACAACAGAAAAATGTCCCCAGATTTTGCCGTATATCCCTGGGGAGCAAAATTGCCTCTGATTGAACACTTCTGGGTTACAGGCATGTCATTCATAGGTAACTCTTTATGTATTAAGTAATATAATTACCTAATTACTGCTTAACTTTTTGTAATTCTAGACTAGTGTTAATTTGTGTGTGTACATATAATTTTTTTTTTTTTTTTTTGATGGGAATTCATCTACAGTTGCTGCTTGAAACTTGTAGTAAAATGGTATCTCAGAGTAATAGTTTTAAGATGTTTCTTAAGAAACAAGGTCTGGTATTTAGTTTATTTACTTCAGAATTTTATATCAGACTGGAGTAGATATAATTAACACACTTGGTTAGCCAAAAACTTGGCAATTCCAGTCCATCCACAGGTGCCTTGGAAGGGAGGCCTGGCAATCTACTTCCAAAAATATCAGCATTGGAAACTCTGTGGAGCACAGTTCTACTCTGACTCACATGGGGTTATCATTAGTCAGAATTGACTCAATAGCAGCTGTTTGGTTTTTTATACAACCAAGTTTTTCTTTCCCAGCTAAAATTGGAAGACTATAAGGATCGCCTGAAGAATGGAGAGCGACTTAATCCAGACCAGTTGGTAAGTGAATTATGTTCTTTTGATAAGAATTGCTGGTTTATGTAATAAAATTCTAGATGGGTTTGGTGAGACCAGAGACTTGATAGGCTGAAAAAGAGAGAATCCACTAACTTTGTCTTCTTTGATTATTAGATTGCTTAGTACTTTTTACTTTATTTCTGTTGTACTAGAGATGGTGTGGATGGTGAGAAGTGGGGTTGTTAAGTAGAAATGAAAATGTAGTTTCTCACTAAGATTTAACAAAGATTTAAATTTATCCTAAGGTGGAATGAAGAAGAGAAAGGAATACTCTAGCTTTCAAGTCTTCTCTGGAATATTCTAAACCTGACATCTTTTTACTCTAAAATATTTAACTTGCCATGGTTTTTTCTCCCAGGAGTCATGTTTATCTGACAGATACAGCTGAAAAAATCAAGCCGGTTGCTTTTGAGTGATTCTTCCAACTCATAGTGACCCTGTAGAACAGAGTAGAATTGATCCCATAGGATTTCCAAGGCTGTAAATCTTTATGGAACAGATTGCCACATCTGTCTCCTGTAGTTCCACTGGTGGGTTCAGACTGCCAACCTTGCAGTTAGGAGCCAAGTACTAATCAGGGCTACTAATCTTTGATACACAGCTGCCCCCCTTCTTTTTTTTTAAACCAAAACAAAAAAAATCTTACTGTAAACATTAGACTTCTTACAATTAACTTATTTAACTTGTCCTTTGTAGACCTGGCCATTACTAATTTTACTTAATTTGGTGAAAGAGATTTTTTTGCAATATGGAAAGAAAAAAAATACTTCATTGATATTTGCCACTTTGACATACTCACTTTTCCTGGCTAAGAGGGAGAAAATTAAAAGTTATTTATTTATTAGCTTTTAGATCTTTTTTTTAAAAAAAATCTTTTTCCTTAAAGATTGAACTAAAATTTTTGGTTGTGTGTCATAGGTACTGGCATTCAAGGACTTTTCTTTCCCTGGCCATGTTGCCTCTTCTATACTGACCCAGAATTTTTGTGCGGTAGTGAATTATAATTTTGCTGAAGCACAGATTTGATGTGAGCTACAAGAATGATGATGTGCTCTTTAGATGGTGAGAGAATTTAGCTGGAAGAAAAAGCATTTCAACATGATTTTGTTTTCAAGTAGGTACTTGTAAAGTAGTAAACCTTTTCTTTGTGTAAATGCCCTTGAAGGAAACGTTCTGTTGCAGTAGTGTTTTTGATTTTGGGAAAATGAGGTGGATGTTAATGATTCACATGATAGCTCTCTAAGAAGTGTCAAGGACGTGCTATGTTTCGGAGCTCTAGCCAAGAAAATTTTAATCTTGGTATTTCATTATGTTTTCATAAGTACATATCATATCTATAATTCTTATAAATATATGAACTTTGATGTCTTCAGTAATACACTAACAGCTTCCAAATGTATATTGCCAAGAGATCAGTCCTCTGAACTCTAGATTCATGTGTTCATTTGTTCATTTGACATCCCTGATTTCTCCATCTCCCTCCTATCCCCAATCACCAAAACACCTGGTTCTGTTAATCTAAGCTATGTCAGTTGCTGGCCTGATAAATTATAAGGATGGAGTTCCTAAAAGCCTTTGAGAATTTTTTTCTCTTTTCAGACCACACATCTGTTCAGTTCTGCCTTCGGAATAAACCAAGGAACTGTCCGTTTCTCATAAATTCCATTTCTCTCATTCTGGTCCAAGCTTTATCTTTCATCTGCATTCCTGTAATAGCTTCCTTATAGGCTTTTCTATTTGCAACCCTTGTTTACCAATCTCTTCTCTATATAGTGGCGTCACTGATTCTGTTCAAATGCAAGTCATAGTGCTATTCCTCTGCTCAGAACCCACTACTGGGCTTATGAGGCTCTACAAAAATATTCTCTTCTCTACTTTTTTTATATCTTTACTGCATTTTCTATACTTCTCCCACTTACAGACTGCATTCTAGCTGTACTGGTTGCCTTACTATTCCTCAAACATCGTAGGCATAATGCTACCTCAGGGCTTTTGCACATGCTTTTCCTACTGCCTGGGTTTGTCTTTCCCTAGATACCTAAATGACTTAATTCCTAACTTCCTTCAGCTTTTTGTTTGAAAGTCACCTCAGGCTTATCCTGACCATACTGTACTCCCACTCTTCCATACTCACTCTTTAGCTTCTTTCATTGCTTTGTTTTCCTTCATAGTAGTTAGTGCTTCTCTGAGAAACTACAAATTTTTATTTTTTGTCTCTCTCCTTCCTTTATGATATAACTTCCATGGATGTAGAGCTTTTGTCAATTCACTGCTGCTTTCCTAGTACTTAGAATAGTGTGTGGAATGTTTATTGACATAACGTACATACATATATATAAAACATAAATATTGAATATGTTGTTGTTATTGTTATGTGCCGTTGAGTCAGACTCAACTCATAGCGACCCCTCCTTGGGTTCCCGAGGCAGTATCACTACAGAAGTAGATTGCCCCATCTTCCTTCCAAGGAGTGGCTGGTGGGTTTGAACCACCAGCCTTCTGGTTAGCAGTCCAGTGCCTTAGGCACTACACTACCAGACAGAATGATTAAATGTTATATGATTAACTGTATAGTTTGTGGTACTTTTGAGAAAGCACATCCCTTGATGTAAACTATAAATTTAAGAGAGAAAATTTAGAAAGCGTAGATTTCTAAATGTCAGAAGAAAAAAATCTATAATCTTAACAAGAGAATTATTGAAATAATAAAAATTTACAGTTTTACTCTCACCCCATCCTCTTTCTGTTCATATCTCACCTTACTATGTAACAGTTTTTAATAGATTTCTATATATCCTTTCAGAATTTAAGCATGCATAATCAAATACTCTTTTTCCTTCCCTGTCCTCCATTTTCTATATAACTTAAGCCTACTATAGACAATTTTCGGGGCCTTTATTTTTGTCCCTTTTAAAATACTGTGGCAATGTTTCCATAATACATGGTTTTTAAAGTTTGGTTGAATTGCTCTGTAAAGGTATTTGAGACTGGTTCTTTTTTGGGTGGTAGATGGCTCTTTGAAAATACTCTGTATTTTTTTCTTTAGAAATTGATTTGTTTAGGTTTTATCTTCTTTTGGAGTCAACTTTTCCAAACTTTCCCTTCAAAATCACCCAGTTTTGTGTAGATTAAAGCAGAAAAATCTTGTGCAAAAGTTTAATATAGTTTTTCTGTGGCTACTTTCCCTTTATTTTTAATTTTATGTGATTGTATTTTTTCAGGTTACTCTTAAAGGTAGCTAGTGGTGTATTTCTTTTTTTTGAAGTAATCTACTTTTGGATTTACTTTGTTTCATCATTTTCCTCCTTTCTGTTTTTTTCCTTACCTTGAGTGTGTAAATTTATTTACCACCGATACATATTTAAGGCTGTAAATTTTCTTCCAAGCATTGCTTTAGCTGTATACCATGGTTTGATATTGTGTTTTCAATATTGTTCTCTAGAAATTTTGTAATTTGTTTGTATTTCTTCTTTAACCTAGCAGATGTTTGTCTTACTGTAAATAAAGCTTTTCGGTGGTCTGAATGGCTACTGCAGCCTCTCTGAAGTAGCAGCTCATAAGCAAGCATCTTGGCAAGACTAAGCAAGAGACTTAATTGCACTAAGAGTGCTAACATAAACCTAGATTTCTCTTATGAAAGAGAAAAATGTCTTAATGAAGTTGTATTTAGAGTCCTGTTTGTAACTTTAAACGTCTATTTCTGTTCAGATCTGGATTTGAAATGGAGAGCTGAGATTCCAGTGAGTGGTCAAGCAGAAGGCAAGGGGCATTTGATGCCTTTGGGCCACTGATGTTTTTGTTGTTAAAGAGTTTGGATTTGGGACCCAGCCCTTGCTGCTAAACTCTGATCTTGGTGTTACGTTTAATGTATATATACTAATTCATTAAATAAAATACAGTCTTCCCTCCTTTGTAGTCCTACTACTGTTGGCCTAGATGAGGCAAGCCACCTAAACTTTATAGAAACTTCCTAATTGATCCCCTTGTCTTGAGACTTTACTTTCTGTACACCAGTTCTCCAGTATCCTTTACTTGAAACACAAGTCTCAATACATGATTCTAATCAAAAGTTTAAAATTCTGTTCAGAATTTTTAACATACTTGAGGCTCTCTAGGGTCATGTTCCAAACTACCTTTTATTCATTCGGCAGAAGTATATTAAATACCATTCTGGAGTGCTGTGCTTTAATTTTAGGGATGTAATACTTAAGGGACAAATGTGATTCTTGCCCTTGTATGTAGTAAGAGTTGGAGACAGGGAATAAACAGATAAAGATGGGTTACATATTAAGAAGGTGAGTTATACGATGATAAAGCATTTTAATGAGGGATCTAACCTAGTCTGGGGAGTTGCTGACAGCTTCACTATGAAAGTATTTTTAAGACCTAAAAGATGTATAGGACTTAGCCAGTTAAAGGGGAGAGAGGTAGGGAGCAAGCTAGGTAGATAGTAGCATGTCTTAATGCCCTGAGAGGGAAAAGGATGTTTTTACTAATAATTTTTCTTAAGAAACTGGAAAGAAGGCCAGTATGGATGGAGTGATGAGGCTGGAGGGGAAAGGCCACATTAGTAGGTCTTCATATGCCATTTAAAAACTCTTGCATTTTCCTAAAGGAATCATGGTATAGATATGTTTTAAGTAGGGAAAAGTAATGATGGAGTTTTAAAAAAAATCACCGACTGCAGTTTGAAGAATGGTTTGGAGATAGTAAGACTGGATGTAAAGACCCTAGAAAAGGATTGGCTGTAGTCTAGGTGAGAGGTTATGGGAGTTGGTACTATGGTAGTGGCAGAGGGATTTGAGTGAAGTAGTGATTTAAGCAAAATCATGGTTTGGTAAAACTGAATTCATTTGTATGCTGTTGATAGTAATCTTTTGGCTGAGTATTTGCATATTACATTTTTTCACCCACTGTGTGGCTCATCAGGAACCTGGTGTCAAAGTGGTTATAGCACTTGTCTGCTAATAGAACCCACCAGCTGCTCTACAGGAGAAAGATGTGGCAGTCTGGTTCTGTATATATTACAGCCTTTGAAACCCTGTGGGGACAAATCTCCTCTGTCCTTTAGGGTAGCTGTGAGTTGGAATTGACTCAATGGCAGTGCGTTTGGTGTGACTTAACTTTTTGTTCTCTTTGGGATGTCATTCGATGAACAGAAGTTAATAATTTTTCATGTGGTTGCACTCCTCTTCCTAAGGCTAAAGTTTAAGACACAGAAGCCCTTTACTTTGAGGTTACAAGTCTGTTTTAGTCTAAAAATCTGTTTTACTACTCACTTATAAGCCTGTAATAAATATAGAACTTAGATTTATGTGTAATGTGAGGTAAAGTTCCATCTTTTTTCTCCCATAGAGAACCAATTTTTCTAACATCATTGTGTAGTCCATCCTTTCTCTCCTGATTTACAGTACTAGTTCTGTTGTTTTGGGTTTCCATGTGTGAGGCTGATTTTGGTCTAAAGTGCTAGTCTCTCTCTCTTTATGTCAATGCTATTTTAATTAGGAGCTCTAGTGGCATCTGTTTATCTTTGTGTCAATACTATTTTAATTACTGAGGCTTTATAATATGTCTTTATCTGGTTGGGGAAATTCCCTACCTACTTCTATTTCAGGCCCTTTTCTTCTTCCATGGAAATCTGAGTTAGCTTAAGTCCCGTGAAAAATGTTCCCTGTCTCTATTATTTCTGTTCATGTATGGAATCTTAAAAAAAAAAAAAAAAATTACTGCATTTATTTTCTGTAGGACATTGCTTGTCATTTCTGAGATAATACTATTTAGTTTGTTTGCTGTAGGTAATTCCCTACAAGCCTATTTTTTCCTATGGGATTACAAATTTTTTGAAGTTGCTCACTCATCTGTGTGGTCTTTGCTGTGCTAGTTGTCTAATAGGTTTGAGTACTGAATGATTATTAACAAAGGAATCCTAATGTCTCCCTGTTCTTAAAACCCACAGGCCTCTCTGCCCTTACACTTTATGAATAGGATGGAATTAAAACTAGAACAAAATCACAACCATTGAGTTGGGTCCAGATTTATGGTAGAAATTGAATTTTTAAGTTCTATTCTATATAAACGAAAACCACACCAAACCCATTGCCATCAAGTCAATTCTAACTCATAATGACCCTATGGGACAGAGTAGAACTGCCCCATAGGGTTTCCAAGGCGGTAAGTCTTAATGGAAGCAGACTGCCACGTTTTTCTCCTGTGAGCAGGGTTTGAACTGCTGACCTTTTGGTTAGCAGCTGAGTGCTTAACCACTGTACTACCTGTTCTTTAATTTTATATGTTGTTGTTATGTGCCATCGAGTCGGACCTGACTCATAGTGATCCCTCCTTGGTTTCCGAGGCAGTATCACTATGGAAGTAGATTGCCCAACTTTCCTTCCGAGGAGTGGCTGGTGGGTGTGAACCTCCAGCCTTCTGGTTAGCAGTCAAGTGCCTTAGGCACTATGCTACTAGAGGTCTTAATTTTATATACTTTGTGCTAAATGTTCTCCCCCCTTTTTCTTTTTTTTTGCTATACAAGGGTTATAGTTTTATTACAGGAAAAAGGATATAAACGAAGATACATATAGAATGAGGTCTAGGCGTATTCTCAGTGCAGAGCTTCCCATGTTCCCTTCCCCATGCATTGATGTCTGTCATCAACCAGGAAGCTCATTGAGCTTCCACTACCAGTATTTTTATAGCGGGGTCTCATTACTTAGGCATGAATAACTGAATCGTTGCCTACCCTACTTGTTCTTTAGGCAGCTACTCTTTCTTTGTATACATGGTGAGTGGCTAGATCATATAGTCTTAAATCTCCTCAGCTTTGTTTAAGGACCACTTATTTTGGCATACTTTTACTTAGAAGTTTACAGAATTACTATTTTCTTACCCTATTTGGTAGGAAGCAGTAGAGAAGTACGAAGAAGTGCTGCATAACTTAGAATTTGCCAAGGAGCTTCAGAAAACCTTTTCTGGACTGAGCCAAGAAGTGAGTATGTTTTCTTTGCTTTTCCAGAAACCACTTAGCCACTGGGAGAGATTATGGGAGTTGGTTCCATGGTAGTGGCAGAGGGATTTGAGTGAAATAATTAGTGATTTAAGAGGTAAAATCATGGTTCGGTAGATTTTGAGTTCATTTGTATGTTGTGGGTAGTAATCTTTTGGTTAGGTATTTGCATTTGTTGTTGTTGTTATGTGCCATCAAGTCAGCCCTGACTCATAGCGACCCCTCCTTGGATTTCCGAGGCAGTATCACTGCGGAAGTAGGATTGCCCAACCTTCCTTCCGAGGAGTGGCTGGTGGGTTTGAACCGCCAGCCGTCTGGTTAGCAGGCAAGTGTCTTAGCCACTATGCTACCAGAGCTTCCATTTGCATATGTTACATATTTTCTCCCACTGTGTGACTCATCAGGAACCTGGTGTCACAGTGGTTAAAGCACTTGTCTGCTAACAGACCTGGAAGAAAATACATCTGATAATGGTGTTTGGTTACCATTCATCTAATTATTGCAAATAATTTATTAGAGATGGAGGGGTTGAGGGTAGCTACTGAAGAACTGATTTGTTTTTCATGATTTCTAGAGTTGCAAGAGAACACAAATATTATAAATGTTGTGAATAAGATATTTTCTAGTGTGTGTTTTTCACTATAGAGTTATAGAAAGCCATCAAGGAGAAGATTGAAAACTATTCTCATGATCATATTTATTGAAAGTGTTTTAGAATATAGGCTTGTACATTTATATGTTGTTGTTACGTGCCGTTGAGTCAGACCTGACTCATAGCGACCCCTCCTTGGGTTTCCGAAGCAGTATCACTATGGAGGTAGATTGCCCCATCTTCCTTCGGAGGAGTGGCTGGTGGGTTTGAACTGCCAGCCTCCTGGTTAGCAGTCCAGTGCTTTAGGCACTATGTTACCAGAGCGCTCCCCATTTATATGATAAAGGATTGTAAATTGAGTATTATTTAACATGAGAAAACAGAATTGCTAGACTCTTCCTCTTAAGGACATGATAATTTATTACGGGACAAATTATGATTCATTCATATTAAATGGAGAGAGTTAAGTCTGACCTCACTATGCTTTCATTTCAAGCTTTATTTCTGATGAATTTAATCAGCAATTAATCTGAAATATTTAGTGTTCGCTTCACTGTTTCAGGATCTTAATATTAGATGGTCCTGTAAATGTCATGTTCTGACAATTAAAGAAAGTTTTCTGTGGATTCATTCCTGGAATATAGAGTATGCCTCATAAGACAGTTTCTTCTAGGTTTTGAATATTTTCCTTTCATTAAAGTTTTCTACTCTGGCATTTAAAAAAAAAAAAATCATTTTAGGCTTAAGACATCCACTATTTTAATCCTTGCAGTAAGTTCTCTGGATGTCTGATTTAATTGTCAATGAGCTGTTAAAAGGTGGTAGACAGATCTACAAAATAGTGTAGTATAGAGCCACTACCTTCCATTTTCTGTATACTTCTGTTATTGCAGTTCTAAGATGATACTAGTTTTTTGTCACCTACAGCATATTTTAGTGCAAAAAGGAAATGGAGGTAGCATCTTCTGACCTCCTCTAACTTCACAAGAGGAAGACAGAATAACGCATCAGCAGCCCAAGGCTTGTTCCTGTGAGGCCAGACGTGCTGTTACTCTCTAGCCTTTTACCAGTTCTGACACTACCTGCCACTATTTCTCTACTGGGTTCTATAATTCATTGCAGTGACCCCATAGAACTCACAGATAATACTTAGGATTATTGGGGTTTATTAGGAAAGTAATAGGCTACAATTCAGGTTCAACAACATGCTCAGGATACAATTCTTTGATAAGGACAGTCTCCCTTCTGTGCCCTTAGGCACGCCTCTCTGGCCTTTGGCCTCTCCACCTGGCCTCTGCCCTTGCTTGGGCAAGTGTTACAGAGCTCTTTTAGCTCTGCTGATAGGTACACCTAGATGCACCCCACTCTGCAAGCAAGCCTCTTGTCCAAGGGCACTCAGCTTTCATATTCTGTGGGCCAGGTAAGCCTGCTGCTCTGTCTTATGTCTCTCGGTTCCACTGCAACCGTCTCTCTGCTGGGGTGTCTCTCTCTGCTGCACATTTGGCCAAGGAGGTCCAATGGAGGGATTTCAGGTCCAAGGATGCACTCTACTTCACCTCAAGCTCTTCTTCCTCATGGCAGTGAGATCCCCCTTCTGCCTCTAGGAAGGCTCATTTTAAGCCTGGCAGAGTGACAAAACTAACAAATCCCAAATCAGAGTTTTCCAAACCTTATTTGCTTGGTCCCACCCTGTCATCTGGTGGCTAGAAAAGCCATACCAAATAATTCACTACACCGCATTTAGCTTGTTGATTCATCACTTAATTTTAGTACTTTTTCTTGTTCCACAGTTTTCAAATATTTGTAAGCTGTTTTAAATACACTACTTTTAAATCAATTTTTCCCTTATACCCATATGATTTTTTTCTCCTTATTGTTGTTTTTGTTATGTGCCATCGAGTGGAACTCGACTCATGGAGACGCCTCCTTGGGTTTCCAAGGCATTATCACTATGGAAGTAGATTGCCCAACTTTCCTTCTGAAGAGTGGCTGGTGGGTTTGAACTGCCAGCCTTGTGGTTAGCAGTCAAGTGCCTTAGGCACTATGCTACCAAAGTGTCATTTTACAAAACTAAATTTGTTTAGTTTTGGTCCATTTTACTATTAAAGGATTTTTCGTATATTCTTTGTGGTTGGGTAGTTGGAAGTATATTTTTATAATATTTAAACTCTTCTCTTTTCTCAAAGTCACCTTATCCTCAAATTTTAATTTTCCATTTAGGTGTTTATTTTCCCGATATATGGTGTCCTGTTTTCCTTTTCATATTTCATTTTTATAAACACCATATGCCAGGCACTTGAGTAATCTCTCTTGATTTTTACATTAACTTGTTGTTGTTGTTGTCGTCGTGTGACGTCAAGTCGGCCCCGACTCATAGCGACCCCTCCTTGGGTTTCCGAGGTAGTATCACTACAGAAGTAGAATTGCCCAACCTTCCTTCCGAGGAGTGGCTGGTGGGTTTGAACCGCCAGCCTTCTGGTTAGCAGTCAAGTGCTTTAGCCACTATGCTACCAGAGCTCCTACATTAACTTAGGAAGTAGATATTAAATATACCTACTCCTCACTTACTATCTCATCAGACATTTTGCATTTACGACAATAGTAAAAAAAATATTGAGTGTTTTAAATATTAATGATAGTCTGGCAGAAGCAAACACTGAGGTAAGAGGCAAGAATAATGCTAGCAGTGATGGTTAAGTTATGTGTCAAGTTGGCTGGATTCTCAGTGGTTTGGCAGTTATATATTGATGTAATCATCCTCCATTTTGTGATCTAATATGTTCATACTCCATTTTTGCATAATACTGATTTTTGTATAATGACTTGGTCTTTGGAACCTAACCATATTAATAAGTGAGGAGTGGTTATAGCTTTATTTTACAGATAAGGACTCTGAGGTTCAGAATAAAGGGAGTTTACTCAAAATCATATGGTCAATAAGTAGTGAAAGGGAATTTACTCAAAATGATATGGTCAATAAGTAGTGAAGCTAAGATTCATGACTATAGGTACTTTTTGTCTCTAAAAACTGTGCTTTTTTCTTACACCATATTCTTCCGCTGCTGTAGTCTTGGAAGTAGAACCCAGACCTCCAAATTTTACTGATACTATGACATTACACTTGATTGTAATTTCAATCAATTTAACGTCACTTTAAGGAAGATGCTAAAGTACTTTGGAACTTGCTTTAGTGAATAAAGACCCCAAAGGTGCTTGCCAGTCAACCTTCTGGGTTTTTTTTTTCCTGATAGTTTTTGGGCTCCTCTTTTACTAAACTTTTTCTTTTGTCAAACCTCTTCTATGATAGCTGGTTTTGCAGTTTGTGGAATATTTTCTTATTTCCCTTCAAACTAAAGTTGGAAGCCTTCCTGTTCAACTCAGCCATATTCTTTGTTTTCATGCAATGAGATCTGTCCCCTGCTGGGAATTCATCTGCTAAATCATGGTTCAGAAAATAAATTCTGCTAGTCAATACCACTGATTAAAAGTGGTTTACTTCATATGTCCTCCTCCTTTCAAAACTGGTCCTCAACTAAAAGAAGAAAATAAAACCTGTTCATTTGGTTTCTTTTAATCACTTTCTTCTCTTTATTATCTCTAGAGCTAAATTCAGTGTTTTTTGTTGGTTCTTTTGGTTTCCACATAAAGAGAAATAATGGCTCTTAATAACATGTTAAATGATCTAAGAGATAGCATACTTTTTTCTTGATTCATTCAATAAATATTTGTGGTCCTGTTGTGTCAGGTTCTGTGCTGGGCATCAGTGATAAATTGATGGATATCAGAGATGTAGTCCCTGACATCATGGAGCTGCCACTTAAGAGGGATTCAGATAAATAAAAAGATAACATTTAATGTGATAATCCTTTTGATGAGGGAAGTTCAGAGTGGCATGAACCTATAAGAATACCAAATCCAGCCTTGGAAGGTTGGGTAAACTAAGATCCAAGGTAATAATGTGATATAGCCCCAAAGATGCCCTCAGTATCAATTGCCTTTCCCTATACCATCATGAAACTATCAAAGAGAATCTCACTATCTTGTAGAGCTGGAAGTGCCACCTCTGTCCTCTCTTTTCTCAAGTAGAAACTAAAAATCCTATAGCTTTGTTAAGTAGTGTTGGCGTAGGTGCCATATTGAGGGGCTTGTAAAGAATCTTATGGAGCCCTCTGCTATCCTGAGAAAATAGGATGGTCCATATAACCCTCAACCAGTTTCTCATTCACAATTTTTTTTTAACCTTCACCTATTTCCTGTCTCTAGTAGTAGCACATATTAAAATTAAGTTGTTTCCATACCTAATAAGGAGAGATCCATAATGCCATCATAAATCTTTTTCCTGAAGTTTGTTCCCCAATCCAAGTCTATTATAATTTATGGATATCTCTTTTTAGTATTTAAAGTATTGATGTTAAATCAAAGTACTTTAATCTGTCTATAGGAAAAAGAGGAGCTCTGGTAGCATAGTGGCTAAAGCACTCGACTGCTAACCAGAAGGCTGGCGGTTCAAACCCACCAGCCACTCCTCGGAAGGAAGGTTGGGCAATCCTACTTCCGTAGTGATACTGCCTCGGAAACCCAAGGAGGGGTCGCTATGAGTCGGGGCCGACTTGACAGCACATAACAACAACAACAACAACATAGGAAAAAGTTCTTTAGATTTATTTTCTTTTGTTTTCCTAACCTTCATATCTTGGAAAATATCTAACGTGATGGAAACATTATAATCAAAAAAGCAATTATGGGGAAAGAAAGAACTTTAGGTTTCTTAGTGGAAACAGTAGTACTATTAAAGTCTTGAAATTTACAGTAGACAAAGGGCTGCTCAAGCCACATATGCAGATTTGAGGGATAACTTAAATTTCCATATCTATTTTGTCAGCTAAATATTGGAGGATACAGCTCCATCCAGATTAAGAGGAAAACTAATATAAAAATATCTGTACTCTTACTTTTTTCCAAAAATGTTTGTTGTGACTGTTTTGACTACATTTGTAAGACATTTTATGTCTGGTTTTCTGTGCCTTGTATCTTAGCTAATCTTTGGTTGGTTGGGCACTGAACATTTTAATTTAATTATCTTTCCTCTGGAACATGGGATCCCCCCCCAAAAAAACTACCAACTGTAAACTTTAGCATTCTGTTAAAATTTTACCTAAAAAGGCTTGATATACATAAATACGGAAGAATAAAATCTTAGGGTTAATACAAACATCAGAGTTTGGTACTGTATACTTCTCATTATGGTGATTTTAGAGGTGGTAGAAATAGCCTGGAATTGGGAGGCAGCGTTTTTGGGCTCCATCACCTCTTGTTACCTTAGATAAGCCAGTTTTTACTCATTGCCACCTTCTTTACCTGAAAAAGCAGGCAGAAGTTAAACAGACCTGTCAGTTTGACAATTCCAATGTTGTATTCTGAGTTTTACCATCTAATCTCAGCTATTTGAAGTTAGACTTTGTAAAATACAGAATTGTTACTAAGGGTGATGGAGAGTTGTTAACCCTAATTATCATTTGTTTTACCAGCTACTTAAAGCTCAGAAGAAGGCCCAGAGAAGGGAGCACATGCTAAAACTTGAGGCTGAGAAAAAAAAGCTTCGAACTATACTTCAAGTTCAGTATGTATTGCAGAACTTGATGCAGGAACATGTACAAAAAGACTTCAAAGGGGGCTTGCATGGTGCAGTGTATTTGCCTTCAAAAGAACTTGACTACCTCATTAAATTTTCAAAACTGACCTGCCCTGAAAGAAATGAAAGCCTGAGGTAAGCTAATGAAAAATTTTTCTGAAATAGAACACGTATAACACTTTAGTCTAGCTTTTTAGTATATATTTTAATTAACTAAGAAAAGATTATTTTGATTCAACATGAGAAACTTTGGCCCTCACTCTGACAGAGTTGATGAACTATGTAGAAGGAAAACAAATTTGAATGGTTTCATTTATGTGCTGCTTTATTGTAACACTGGTTTTAAAAATAATGTCTGATCATCACGTTTTAACACCATACGAATATAAACCATAATGTTAATGAAATATAAATTCCTAAAACTTTTCTTTGGTAAGCATGTCAGGATGTTAGTATTACCTGAGAGTCTTTGGCTTCTTACTCCTGCTGTACATAAGTAGAGATAAATAAAATTTAAGTTGGGGCAGTATCATTAAACTTTAAAAATGAGAATTATTTGGTGTTCTTAATAAGCTGTAAGTAAAGACTAAGAAATAAAACCGATAATTCAAAGTATAAAACTAATAATTCAAAGTGTAGAACTATCAATTTTGGGCTTTTGAGTGAATTTTTTTCCCTTACAGTTACCCATTGGTGGTTTTTGCCTTGATAAATCAGATCTCTATGTTTTTGCTTTGTGTTCGATTCGTGGGGTATTCCAACTTTGTGTCTAAGTTAGCATTAGCATGCTAAAGCAGAGTCAGATTTCAACTCTTACTAGAAATCAGCTCTTTATCAGGAAGAAATCTGATAAAACTCTTAGTTATTTCTATACAGCCATATATCTTTTATTCCCATGTTGATAGTTTGCGTCATCATTATTTATCTGGTACTTCCTTCACATTGGTGGGTTTGGGAAGTGCACCTTACTTTAATATATAAAATATAAGGAAAATATAAACTGCATAGAAGTTAAATGCAGCTCTTAAGATTTCCATTAGTCTCCTCTTTCACCTGGGACGTTTTCTTACTAACAAACGCTGCATTGGCAGACCCTTTTTGGTCTATTCCTTAACAGCTATATTTGGTAAAATCTTTATTTTGGTTGTTTTAAGAAAAAGGTTTACATTTGAAATCCATAAATGGGGAACTAGTAACCTTTTATAAAATTTCAATATTTTATTTCCAAAGAATGAGAAGACAAAATTAATATTTAAATGCCTTGACTGTTAAATTGTAATATGTAAATGGTACTGTTCCATATATATGTATATATACACACACACACACACACACACAAATATGTGTATGTACTTCTAAAGCCACTTTGTTCTGCTGCTGCTTTTCCTTGTCAGTGTTGAAGACCAAATGGAGCAGTCATCCTTGTACTTTTGGGACCTTTTGGAAGGTAGTGAGAAAGCAGTGGTAGGAACGACATGTGAGTTTTCTCTATTCTGGACTTATGCAGGAAAATACTAAACTTTATGTCTAGAAGTTTAGTATGATACTGAGGGCCTAAACTGTGTCAGTCCATCAGAACTTACATGTCTGACAGTACTGTATTCATCTGGAGAATAACCCCTTTGTTTTGCTCTGTTAAAAGCAGCTGTTGTATAATTGTACTCAGTAAAATGGAATTTAGGGAGAATTTTGAAGTGGCAAGTCAATATGATTTAGGAACAAGACCTAAGTACTACTGCTGGCTTCGACACTAGCTTGATTGTTTTGGGGTTCATTTCCCAATTCTGTATAATAAAATAGTGCCTTTCCACTAATAATCTTAAATCCACACAATGTTAATACCAAGTCTTATCTACTAGATTAGCGTAAAAAAATATGAATGGTTTAACTACATAGTCTTTTGAAGCATTGTTGTCTAATGATAATGGAGAAGGAACCCATTTGGCTTCCTAAATAGCCTTTGGGAAAATGACCAAATAGAAATGTCAAACATGAAGTGCATAGTTTTGTGCCCTAGCTTAGGATAATGAAAACTGACTAGGTACTAGTAAATATTTTTGTTACTAGTGATTGCTTCCTTTTTAAAAATAGCTAAGTATATGTGTGACTACCTGAATATTTCTCAGTTCATCCAAGATGAAATGACAGTTAAAAATTAATTTCTTGGTTAGAATACAAAATGGTACAAATACTTTGGAAAATAGTTTGGCAGTTTCCTATAAAACTAAGCTTAAACTTACTATTCAACTAATCAATTATATTCCTGGTACCCAAGAGAAATGAAAAACATGTTCACACAAGTACTACTAGTACATTTATAATGTTTATGAATGTTCATACCAGTTTATTCAAAATAACTAAATTAGAAAACAGATGTACATCAACTAGTAAATTGTTAAACAAAATGTGATATGTCTGAACAGTAGAGTATTACTCTACCGTGAAAAAAGATTAAGCTCTTGATACATGTAACATGAATGAATCTCAAAATAATTATGTTGAAAGAAGCTAGATAAAAAGAGTATAGTATGTAAAAAAATTCTAGAAAAGACAAAGGTAGAATTACAGCAGGTCAGTGTTTGCCAGAAGGTGGGAGAAAGAGACTGATTTCAAAAGGCCTGAGGGAACTTTTTGGGGTGTTGAAAATGTTCTATATCATGGTTCTGGTGGAGATAACATGGCTATATATTTGTTAAAACTGTACACTTAAAATAGGGGAATTTTGTTATTTGTAAATACTCAATGCTGGGTTTTTGTTTTTTTTTTTTAAAAAGACAAAAATAGTACTCCTATGAAAGGAATAATGGACCTCAAGTACTTTTCATGGTACTGACCTGTTTTCTGAATCCCCTCTCCTATAGAATACAGGCAGTCCCCGGGTTAGGAATATGTAGAACAACCTACAGTTATGAGCCAACCCCTATGTAAAGTGTATTACATTAAAAATTTGAGGTACATGTAATGGTTTGTAATAACAAGCAGGTGCTACTTTGTGACATGCATCAAAACATTAATTATGTTAAAGATGTTCTAGTGTATCTTGAAGTGTTCAATATTTTTTATGCACAGAAAGGTACACTATGTAGTATATATATACTAAGTGAAACATTTGACTAACTGATGTTATATGCCATTTGTACCTAACTGTTCTAACTTAACATACAAATCTGACTTAAAGACAGATTTAAGAACAGAACTTGTTCAGATCTGGGGACTGCTTGTATTGTAATGACATGCTGTAACTAAGGTTAAATTAAGATTTCTATTACAATTTTTAATGAACTCGTAGGTTATGTGATAACTAAGTCTTAATCTTTCTTAGACAAACACATGAAAGATCTACTGTCTAAATTGCTGAACTCAGGATATTTTGAAAGTATCCCAGTTCCCCAAAACACTAAGGAAAAAGAAATACCAGTGGAAGAAGAAATAGTGATAAAATCAGAGAAGAAAAAACAGTTATTGAAAACTGAATCTGTCCAAGAGTCAGGTTTGTTATGATCTCTAAAATTCTTTATAGTGATTGGATTTTTAGCACAACAAAAATGAGTCAAATTATTCTGGAATGATTTCCTTAATTTGTTAGATTCTACATGAATGGAAATCTTTACTTGCTGCTGAATAAGACAAGGTTTAGAAAACATCTGTAGGCTTTATTACCATAATTTACAGATAGAACCTTAATAGAAACATTAGGTTATACTTTGTTCTGAGAGAGTACACTGGTTAAAAGGCATTTGAATGAGCCTGTTACAGAATTCAATACTGTAGTAGAACATGAATGTAACTAACCTAAGGTTAAAATACCAATTTAGAAAAAAAATTGGTAAAGAAAATAAGTTTCTCAAATTACCATTTTCTTGGGGAAGAAATATTTTGAGGAAATGATACTTTTGTGTTTGTTTCTTAGGTTGGATTTACTTAGGAAATTTCTCTTCTAAAGAGGGAGTGTAGGCAGAGTTTGGTAGCCACTAGGAGGACTCAGTTTTCCGTTTTTACTTCCTCTTAGATCTTAATACGACGACCCCTCCTTGGGTTTCTGAGGCAGTATCACTACAGAAGTAGATTGTCCAACCTTCCTTCCAAGGAGTGGCTGGTGGGTTTGAACCACTACCCTTCTGGTTAGCAGGCAAGTGCCTTAAGCACTATGCTGCCAGAGCTCCCTGCTTCAGTACTTCTATCCCCTAACTTCTCAACCTTAAAATGGGTTACGAGAGTCCTTAAGGGCTCTATTTCAAGTTGAGATGACTAATTTTACTCCATGGGACATGAGTGATAATTCTTAACTTGTGAGAAGCTATGTTTGTGGCTAAGAACAGTGTCTTACTTTTGATCAGAAATAAAATTTTTAACGATCAAATTGACTTTACCAGGTGTCTTATATAAGAGAGCTAGTGGTGTCAGACCACTTGATTTTATCCAATAAGCAGTAGTTAGACTTAGGCCTGCCATGCATACATATATTTGTGCTGTCTTTTTCCTGTTACCCTATTGAATCTTCTGAAATATATTGCTGGAATGAATTACAGTAATATCAGTCTAAAAGCCTATGGTTTACCTACTATTTATTTAATATTCCTTTTCTCTTTCCAGAGTCTTTTGTGGAACATGCACAGCCAGAGATACAGCCACAAGAGGTAACACACTGAAAAGTAATTGATGTTAGGTTTTAAGACTTGTTAGAGTATCATGGTTAAGAGCCAGTCCTCTGGGGCCAGACTGCTTTTGCTTGAATCCAAGCTCTGAGCTTACTAGGTTAGTGACTTTGGGCAGTATATCTAGCTCAGCTCTATCTGCTGTCCTCATCCGTAAAATGGCAATAATAATAAATGCCAACTTCATGGAGTTACTGAGAGAATTAAAGGAGTTAGTTTAAATTCTCAATTATATAGAATTTGGCCTGGTACACAATAACCGCTGAAGTGTTAGCTGTTGTATTTCTTGTTATTTTGGCTCCTATTATTATTGGGCAGGACTTTGCTCTTTCCGGAATTTACACACATTAGTGGAAGCTCTGGTAGCATAGTGCCTAAGGCACTTGACTGCTAACCAGAAGACTGGTGGTTCAAACCCACCAGCCACTCCCCGGAAGGAAGGTTGGGCAATCCTACTTCCGTAGTGATACTGCCTCGGAAACCCAAGGAGGGGTCGCTATGAATCGGGGCCGACTCGACGGCACATAACAACAACAACAACAACAGTAGGAGAAAAAGATTCTCTTAGTGGAGTGACATTGAAATTCATAGAAGCTGAAAAGAATGGAAGAGGCAGAGACAGTATGATTAATACATAGGAGAAATAAAGAAAAGTCTAGTAATTCAGAAAACATAAGGCTTAAAAGATTAAACCGTGTAACTTTTGTGTGGTTGAACTGTATCTTCTGCCTTAACTTTTAAGGGAGTAAGTAGATAGAATGGTTCTAAGTCTTGCAAAGGCTTAATAAAGAAGCAATCAAATATGGCATCATGATGTGTAGTTCTTTTCATTCTTAATTGAATCAAACATAGATTTCTCCTTTTGAAGCATCAAAGTTTGAGTTTCTGTTAACTGACACACACAAAAAAAAGAATGGACAAAGCAGTAGGGCAGTTTCTTCAGTTAGGGTAAAGAGAGGTTTCATACTAGTACAGTATCTCCAACACATTAACATAGGAGTACATATAAAGTTGCATGTTCCCCTCAAAGTCTTCTGCTAATTTTACGACTCTAGCCCATTATTTCTCTGGTTTAGTTTCTTAACAGACGCTACTTGACAGAAGTTGATTATTCAGACAAACAAGATGAAGAACAGTCTTGGGAAGAAAATTATGCTAGAAAACCACATCTCCCCAAATGTTTGGATATGCTTACAGAACCAGACAGTCAGGAGAAGAAACAGGAATCCTTCAAGTCCTGGGACTCTCCTATTAAGCACCAGGAGTTAACAAAACCTGCAGTTTCCTCAGAACAGAGGAAACAAGAGATTTCAAAACTCAGGTCCACTCTGCAGGAAGAGCAGAAGAAGCAGGAGACCTCTAAACTCAAGCCAGCTCCTGGCCAGTGGAAGCAAGAAACTCCTAAGTCCAAAGCAGGATACTTTCAAGAGGAACAGAAGAAGCAGGAGACACCAAAGCCTTGGCCAGTTCAACTGCAGAAAGAAGAGGATCCAAAGAAGCAAGCTCCAAAGTCTTGGGCACCTTCTCTGCAGAATGAGCAGTCCATCACCAAATCGTGGACCACTCCCATGTGTGAAGAACAGGATTCAAGACAGCCAGAGACTCTAAAATCCTGGGAAAACAATGTTGAGAGTCAAAAACATCCTTTAACACTACAATCACAGATTTCTCCAAAGTCCTGGGGAGCAGCTACAGCAAGCCTCATTCCAAATGACCAGCTCCTGCCCAGGAAGTTTAATACAGAACCCAAAGATGTGAGTTGATACGTATTTGTCTGCTTCTGTCAGTGTAGGTATCAATAAAGAGTTGTAGTAATGATTACATTTTAGTTTTCTTCAAAAAATTAAAAAAAAAAAATGTGTAAACTGTTTCACTTAACTCTTTTAAAGGGTAGATTTATTAGTTCCCCTAGAAAATTGGAAGATAACCAAGTCTTTCTTTGAGCCTGACCTAAGATTACATTTTCAAAATTAGAATATGTTAAGTTTTACTGCCAAGATTTTAATGGATGTGACATTGACATGGTGGATAGTTCAGATGATACCATAACGTGAACAAGTGGGTAATAAAAATGCATATCACAGGGTGGGACACTAGTTTTACTTTACTCATTATCTTCCATTTGGCACCTGGATGACTTTTTCTGACAAAAGTTACATTTTTCTGCATTCCCTTGATTGTCTTTCATTATAGCCATTGAGATTAGCTTGTACTCTACTCTTACTAATCAGGTACGTAGTGGCTGTGGATATTCTAAGTAGTTGGGGAAAGGATCTGAACTATTTCTATTTCAAAATAAGTATTTCCTAGAATTAGAAAACTATTGTTGTTGTTGTTGTTATTTGCCATCGAGTCGGCCCCGACTCATAGCGACCCCTCCTTGGATTTCCGAGGCAGTATCACTACGGAAGTAGGAATGCCCAGCCTTCCTTCCGAGAAGTGGCTGGTGGGTTTGAACCGCCAGCCTTCTGGTTAGCAGTCAAGTGCCTTAGGCACTATGCTATCAGAGCTCCTAATAGGCATTAAAAATTCTGTAGCTAAGTTTTGAAGTCTAAGATTTAGTTAAAATTTAAGGCTTCATACTGTTAACCTATTTCAGGATGATAAGACTTACAATGAAAAATAAATGTTGCCTTTTATTAAATTATAAATTACTTGTTTACCACTATTTATAATGAAAAATTAGTCACCTTGTTTGATATTATTCAATCTCTACATACTAGTATTCCTTATACTTCTATGTCATTTTAGCCAAAAGCTTACTGAAAATTTTGGTGAAAAATATTTTGCTCAGGAAAATCAAAGCATTCAAAGCATTGCATTTTATCTATCACTAAATTACTCTGAACTTCTAATTTATGGGAAGAGAGTTTTAGAGTTATCTCATTTTGCTCTTCTTCTTTTCTTCAAGTGCTAATATTTTTTTAGCTTCTTCCTGACTGTACAGAAGTTTGATAGACTTATTTCATTAACCAGATATCATGCAACAGTAATTTTATCAGAACTATTTTGAGAAACTTATATTTAAAAACCCAATTTAATACCTCAGTAAAATGGTTTAAAACAACTTAAAATTCTGTTAGGTGTGGTAATACTGAGGTTTTAATATACCAGAATATTGAAATCAAGTTTTTAGCTGAATAGCATTTATAAGGCAAGATTCTTAATTAGGGAATAGTCAAAACTTGTGTTTAATTTACTCTTATGACACAGAGAGCATGATATTGAAGTTGTAGGGTTTTCTTCAGTGACTGAGATGACTTTATCTGTAAAGTTCAGTGTCTGTTTCTCCATCTGTCGTGTAATCTAAGCTGTCTAGAACATGCTTGATACAGTTCTAAGCCAAAAGACTAGGTAAGATGAAATTGTTGTTGTTATGTGCCGTCGAGTCGGCCCCGACTCATAGCGACCCCTCCTTGGGTTTCTGAGGCAGTATCACTACGGAAGTAGGATTGCCCAACCTTCCTTCCAAGGAGTGGCTGGTGGGTTTGAACTGCCAGCCGTCTGGTTAGCAGGCAAGTGTCTTAGCCACTATGCTACCAGAGCTCTAGTCACTAAAAAGCTCTTCCTTTTCTACTGAAATAACCTCTCATAATTATTTGGGGTTTTATTAACTCCTACTTTATTTGGTACTTTTTGACAAACTTGGCTTTTTTACTTCCCAGTGAATTAGAAGGTAGGGGAGCTGGTAGAGACAGGTTGTAAGAAGTAACTGTAAACATTGGGTCTAACTCAGGATGTGCAGCACTCTTAAGTAATTTAGCATAGGGCTCCAAAACTACATCTATTGCCATTGAGTTGATTTTGACTCAAAATGAGCCTACAGGACAGAGGAGAACTACCCCCTAAGATTTCTAAGGCTGTAATCTTTGTAGAAGCAGACTGCCACATCTTTCTCCCATGGAGTGGTATTGGTTGGTGGGTTCTAACTGCCCACCTTTCAGTTAGCAGCCAACCTCTTTAACCATTTTGCCACCAGGGGTCTTGCATGAGGGCTACCCACCTTACGAACATCAATAACGCCCAAGAGTGTGCTTACTTTATAACAAACATAATAGTGTATTTTTTCAATTCTAGAATATATATACATATATGTGCACATACATACATATACATAGATATATTTTAAACATCTTAATGGTTCTGAAATCAGATAATATCTTAAAAATGGATGTATATTTAATGTGGTATTACTAACTTCTTTGGAAAAAGAAAGTTTGCCTGTCTGGTGTGCCTGTCTCAGTGACATCTTACAGAAGAAATAGGGTAGTTGATGTCTATAGGAAAGCACTCTTATCAGGGAAGTTCTGTTATGTTTAAAAAGAGATTGTTTTATGTTTGGAAAGATTTCCATTAAAGTGGTTTGAAAGGGGGAATAGCATGAAAATGCATTTATGTGGAAGTTCTTTACCTGAGATAAATCAGAGAAAGGAGTATTACTATATATGTTGATTTTGTTAAGATGTAGTAATAAGCGTTCTGTGAATTGGAATTGATTTGACCAATGAGTTTGGTAATAAGCTGTTTCCTGCTTAGACCATTAAATTTGAATTTTATACATTACGGGTTTGTTTTCTAGGTGCCTAAGCCTATGCATCAGCCTGTAGGTTCTTCCTCTACCCTTCCAAAGGATCCAGTATTGAGGAAAGAAAAACTGCAGGATCTGATGACCCAGATTCAAGGAACTTGTAACTTTATGCAAGTATGAGTCATTTTAAAAAGAATCTTAGATGTTATATGTGAGTCTTAACTTCTGATTTGAAGCATTATGGAGTTGTTAAGAGCATAGATTATGAGTATGAACCCTGACCATACTCCTTCCTGGCTCTGACACCTTACGCAAATTCCTTAACTCTCTACCTTTTTTTAATGTGAAAAATGAGAATAGTTCCTATTTCCAAAGTTTGTTGTGAGTAATAAAATAGAAATTAAGTAAAAAAAGATTAAAGTGCTCAAGGATAATTATTGTTATAGATCATCTGTAGTTTCCATTCAGATTTATGAGAACCTACTCTGTGCTTGGGAACTCTAGTAGTATAGTGCCTAAGGCACTTGATTGCAAACCCACCAGCCACTCCTCGAAAGGAATATGGGCAATCTACTTCGATAGTGATGCCGCCTCGGAAAGCCAAGGAGAGGTTGCTATGAGTCGGGGCCGACTCGACGGCACATAACAACAACAGCACTCTGTGCTTAATGTTCTGTTAGGTGCCACTGTGTAATGAAAATTATAAGACAATCATTGCCTTCAAAGAGTTTATATTCCAGAAGATTGTAAACATAATGTTAAATTAATAGTTAAAATGCCAAGTTGTGGGATAAGAGTATTCTTAACTAAATTGTGACACTTATAGAATTTCGGAATAGAATGATATTACTGAGACCTGCAATAGTCAAATATTCAAGATGTTTTGGCTTAGTAAAAGGATATCTTTAGCTTTGAAATTAGGCCTGTGTTAAAAATCACAGTTCTGCCAAAGCTGTGTCATTTATGAAAAGTTACTAACCCTCCAGACCTCTGCTTGTCTTTAAAATGAGAGCACTGCCTAGTTCTTCAGGGTTTTTGAGGATTGATAAAAGAACTAAAATGCTCACTATAGTGTGTAGTTTAAATACTCAAAATGTTAGATATTTTTCTCGGAGAACCAAGATAAGGAAATGGATGAAGAGAATGGTTTCTCATCACAAAATTGTCTAATAGCCTAAGTGGTTGAGATAAAATAGACACTCTTAACTGGTTGAGTATGATAAAGGAAGGTTCAGCCTAGACTAGGATTAAGGCCTCAAATCAGGAGTTTTTTAAGTTAGTCCTTAGAATTGCTATTGTAGTTTTGACATTTGACACACCTTAAGATTTGACAATAATGTTAGATTTGATATTTAACTCAATGTCTTCTGTAAAAATTAAGTTTTTAACGTCTTGAGATAGTCATTAGATACCTATAGCTAATAAGCTGTGGGAAGCATCATGAACAATTTAACGATAATAGCTTTTAAATGAATAATCCTTGTTCCTACTCATTATTTAAAATCTTGGCTTTAGGAGTCTGTTCTGGATTTTGACAAACCTTCAAGTGCAATTCCATTGTCACAGCCGCCTTCAGCTACTCCAGGTAGCCCAGTAGGTATGTAATCATTCTAAATACTTAGAACAAATATCTTAGGTCTGACAATTTTTCACACACTATTCTACTTCAGATATTTTAAGGGTTTTGAACTGTGTCTCTGTTAATTTAATCTAAACATACTCATCTGTTAATCAGTTATATGTGAGTAAATTGTAATTGGGACATTATTTTACTTAACTGATGTATTTACAGTTTGTAAAGTCTCTAGATGGATGAATGGAAACACCCATTAGCTATTTTTTTTTTTTTTAAGTGTGATTTGGGTGAAGATTTACAGAGCAAATTCACTTTCTATACAGCAGTTCACGTACACTTTGCTCATGACATTGACCACAGTTTACCGCAATGCAACAGCTCCCTTCCCACCTCCTCCCCACAGTTACCTCTTCCCAGTGTCCATCCCTCCATGGACTCCTGCCCCCTGAGCTGTCTCCCTGTGCATAAGCAGCCCTTCTTTCTCCCATGATTGTCCTCTCCAAGGAGTGTATCTACCTCAGGTACATGTTCAACTCATATGCCTGTCTTTTGTTTGCCTGGAAACCACAGGTGTGGGTTCAATTCCAGACCTGAATGGCAGCTAGGGGCCATAGTCTCAGTGGTTCCACCAGGCTTTATCGAACCAGCAAACCTGGTTCCCCCCTTTTTTTCCCTCCTAATGATTTTGAATTTTGTTCCATATTGTTCTCCCTCTCTATCAAGGATCTCCTACATAGATCCCCTTCCAAGTGGATGACAGTGGTAGCCGGGCACCATCTAGTTCTTCTGGTTGCATAGTTGTATAGGCTGCAGATCAGATGGTGTACCAGTCACTAGGACTAATTATTTCCATGAAGTTTGGTTTTCTTCATTCTTCTTTGCTCTGGATGAGGAGAGATCCATTGTTGCATCTAGACGGCATCTTGGTAGCTTTTAAGATCCCAGTCACTACTCACCAAAGTAGGAGGTGGAACAATGTTTTGTGTAGTATGTTATGCCAATTGAGCTTGATATCCCCTGCGACTATGGTCCCAAGCCTGCAGGTTCAAATAGTCGGTCCCTCTGTGTAGCTGGCTGTGACCAAGCAGTGACCACAACCTTGCCCCTTGTCAGCTCTACTATACACCTGGGAATTCTGATCATTCACATAAACTTATAGGAACATTGTCTGCCAACCCTATATATGATCTTGGATACACTCCCCATTTCATAGACATACCTAATCATTCAGCCTGTCCACCTATCTGTCCACCCATCTACCCTTGTTTGCCTTCACTGACAACACAGTACTGTATGTGCAAAAGGGTTCATATTTGTTGTCTTTACCTCCCATGTACCTCTCTATGTCTTTCTCATCCTCAAAGTGCCATATTGGTCACTCACATTTGGTACATTGCCCTTTTTCTTCACCCAAATCAATACTTCGTCTATCTAACAGCCTTCTCTCCCCTCCCTTCCCACCCCTGGTAACCAACAGAAAATTTCCTTCTTTGCATAAACCTTTCCTTAACTTTTACAATAATGGACTAATACAATATTTGTCCTTTTGTGATTGACTTACTTCCCTCAGTATAATGTCCTCCAAGTTCATCCACGTTATGCGGTGTTTTGCAGAGTCTACATTATTTTTTAGCATTGCATAGTATTCCATTGTGTGTATGTACCATAGTTTGGTTATCCATTGGTTGTGGTCACTGCTTGGTCACAGCCAGCTACACAGAGGGACCGACTATTTGAACCTGCAGGCTTGGGACCATAGTCGCAGGGGATATCAAGCTCAATTGGCATAACATACTACACAAAACATTGTTCCACCTCCTACTTTGGTGAGTAGTGACTGGGATCTTAAAAGCTACCAAGATGCCATCTAGTTGATGGACACCTAGGTTGTTTCCATCTTTTGGCTATTGTAAATAGTGCTGCAATGAACATGGGTGTGCATATGTCTGTTCTTATCATGGCTCTCACTTCTCTAAGGAATATACCTAGTAATGGAGTAGCTGGGTCAACCCATTAGCTATTTTTGCAATTAATTATGTTCTTCTTGGAGTGTATCTGGCTGGAATTGATTGACTGCTTTGGGCTTTAATTCTAGTGTTGAGGCTTTTGGATTCTGAGAGTGAAATTACTGTATTGATAAGTGATTAACACAGTAACTAGTGATGGGGCCTAGATTTAAACTTGATGCTTCAAAGCTTAGGCTTTTTGCTTTGCATTAGTTTCTCTTGAAGGAGCTCTGGTAGCATCATATTTGTCCACCAGCTGCTCTGCAGAAGGAAGATAGGCCAGTCTACTTCCGTAAAGATTTAAAGCTTTGGAAACCCAATGGGGGTCACTATGAGTGAGAATCAACTTGATGGCAGGGGTTTGGTTTGGTTTTGGAGTTTCTCTTGGGAGCACAGTGACTTAAAGCCATAGTCCAGTTGTAGGGCAGTAGATAGCAGCTAGAAGACTGACACAGTAATTCCTGGGAAGAAGAGTAAATAAGGGTAATTAGCAAAACTGAAAGGATTCTTGATGGCACAGTGTTTACAGCACTTGGCTGTGAACCAAAAGGTCAGCAGTTCAAACCCATTAACTGCTCAACGAGAGAAAGATGTGGCAATCTCCTTCTAATAAACCTTGGAAACCATATGGTGTAGTTTTACTCTGTCCTATATAGGGTTGCTGTGAATTGGAATTAACTTGATAGCACTGGGTTTTGATTTTAACAAAAGTGATGGACTTTGGTAAGAGGAAGCCAAACTGAAAACTTTGCCATTGAAAAACATTAATATACATAATTAAAGGAAAAAAGAAAAAGATGTCCCAGTTGAGCCTTACTTTGGAAGTTATAATTTGTTGTGTATCATTTAATTACTTCTTACTTCTCTTGATAGTTTGGGTTTTATCTTCCAGATTACTGTTACCAGTTAATTTTTAAGCTTGAAATGCTGCTTTTGCCCACTTAACCTTAAAACATCACTATGTAGCACAGTTGAAACTACTATTTCTTGTTCTTCCACAAGCCCCTCTGTCTCTTAAAAGCTCTTACAGAGTGCATAATAAATTTGACACCTAGTCCTCTAGCTTATGCTTTTTTTGTGAAGTGTAAACTTTAGTTTCCACCCCATTAATAAGCATAAACCTTTCTCCTCTCTTAGTAGTTTACTACTTAATATACTCTCTGCAGCATCTACAGAACAAGATCTACCCAATCAAGATGATTTTCTTCAAGAGCCATTACAGGTAATGTCTCCAAATTAATTTTTCATTTACTCTTTTCTATTCATGGAAGAACCTCTTGTTTTGGCAAGGATGATCAGACTTACTGATTATAATATACCTAACTAAATTATTAAAAATGTCCTAATGATAACTAGCTTTTTAGATGCAGCACAAGTCTTCCTAAAAAAGATTTCCCAAACACGTGTATTATAATAAAGATTAATTGACTTCATTAAGTAAAGAGCAAGCCTGAACAATTCATAGGTACCTTGTCTGAAGAAGAGTATTACTTGGCCACTGAGCTACTTAAATTGTTTTATATGGCAGCATAGTAAAAGATTGGGGGAAAGAAACTAATTTTATTTAATCTGTGGTTAACCAGTTCTTTTGCCCACATGAAAGTTATCATTCCAAGGAATTAATTTCCCCAGAAAACATATGGAGATTCAAAGGGCCCAGATCATTGACATCTTTAAATGCCATGTTGCATTTTCATCTACTAGCCCAAAGTTCACTAGTTTCTGGTCTTCACCTTATAAAAAACTTTACTGGTGCCCTCTGTAGACAGTTCTCTTGATAGTAGCTGTTTGTGACAATAAGGTAAATATTTTGACCAGGTGATTGAATACTTGTAGCTTTCCCTTTCAAAAACTTACAAGTGAATACCTTCTGTGTACAGTTATTTATATGTATAGTTTGGTGAAGGGAGGCTCAATTTTCAAAGTATATTTGTAGAGCAAGGTTTATAAAAGGGTTTTGTCCTACTTTTCCTCACCCTATTCATTGCTTTAACTAAAGAGGTTCATTCTGACAATTAAAGTTCTACATGAAGCTTTCAGTTGAAAAGTTAAATTTGTTTAAAAAGCCACTGGTTTGGTTTAGTAGCTTGCCAGGTACAAGTCTGTGGGGTAGCTGCATCAGAATCAAATATGCATTTTTAAAGTAGATATTTCTACATCTTACCTTAGACTTGATGGATCAGAATTTCCAGCTGCAGGCTCTAAGCATATGTTTTTAATACACTCCCTTGGTGAATCTGCAGGCAGGTTTAGAACCTTTCTTGTTTGTGTTTACTCAACAATACTGAAACTACTTAGAGCTGATCTAGTTAAGAGATTTGGAAGCAATGACTGCCTTAACTTCTAAATGAACATTAATACAAAGAAGTCTTTAAAAATTTAACTATCAAGTGGACTGAATTGACTTAACTTAGCATCTGTGAATCTTCCTTTAGTATTATGTTACTTATGTCTCCTCAGTAGGCCAACTTGTTTTGAGTGATTGTCATATTATTTTAATGAGAAGGCTAGAGGAAAAGTCTAATTTAAAGTCACTTCAGTCTGATGATAGCACTGAGGTCTAAACTATACATATTTATTTAACTATGTAAGATGTTCCAAAATATTTTTCCAAGATACTGCAATTTTTTTCCATAAAGTATTTTTAAAACCATCCTTCCTTCTTTTCTTTCCAGTTGGGACTTACCATGATGGTCCCTCAGAAAGTCACTGGGAACATAAGTGCTCTGATGTTTAGTGCTATTCATTCATTAATTTCCAATTCACCTATTTTATTACTTGGACTTCTGCAAACCACATAGAAGCATTTAGATAATAAGAGTGGCTTCCTGGACCCTTCAGACCTTTCAGTTGCTGATTTTTATAAGTCTCTGTCACTTTGTTGTCTTCTGATACCTAATGTATTAAATTGTTAGAATTGTGTCATAGAAGTCCCTGGTAGTCACTTTCTAGGGTCTTTATTGGTTACAGCCTTGTTTCTTACTGTGTTTTCTCCAAATTTTTATTTTATGCTGTACTTTCACCTTTAATCTTTTATTAGAATTCTATTGCCATTTTGATTTATGTAGAGCTATTCTTTGCTATTTATACTTTTACCTAACTCTTTGAGATACTAAGAGCACTTGAATAAATGCATAGTTACTGTGATCTCTTGCAGAGCTGTGCCAAGAGGGTTAAATGTACCTTGAGCTCATCTACCAGTGAACTGCTACTGAGTGCCAGATTGAAAATCTCTCCCCAGGTTTCTAGGGCCAAGGATCTTGATTAGTGATGATGGGGTTGGATGTGTAGCTTTGATGACCAGTCCTGGAAAGGCAGACAGTGTAGCAGGATGTTAGGGTTTGATTTTTAGCCATTTAATTTTAGTGTGTTCTTTGGCAAATTACTTAACCTTTTTATTTATTTAGTTTTGTCTCTGCCTGCCTGTCAGTAAATGGGGAGAGTTGTACTTACCTCATAAAATCAGAGTGAAGATTAAATACAGTAATATGTTCAAAATGTTCAGCATAATGCCTGGCACTACTGATTGCTCAGTATGACCTATTAGGAAACCAGGGCTCAAGGAATATAAAGTGAACAAAATATGCCTTTTATAGTATTTTATATCTCTAATGTGTCTAGGTCACTTCTCCAGTTACTTGTAGCTCAAATGCTTGTTTGGTTACTGCTGATAAGGCTTCTTCAGGATCCGAACCAGAGTTTAGGACTTCAGAGACTCCTGAGGTAATGAAACCAATTGCCTTAATTTCTTTTCTGTCTTAACATATAGCAGAATTAGTTTCTCTTGGAAATTACAGGAATTATCAGTTGAACGATTTAACATTTATACTTATGTAGTACTTTATATAGATTTGTGGTCTTTGAATTTAAATAAATTTATTGTGACTTAGCCATATAAGTGAATTTAATAATATATTGCCTTATCAGATAAAGCAAGTATGTCAAAATTGCAAATACCAAAAAAGAGTGAAAAGTTCTAGGTAGGGTTATGTCAAGTTTCTCACTATATTTATACTGAAGGAATACTTAGGAGAAAAAATACCCATATAACTGAAGACTGAATAGACTTTATTTTTTAAATAATACCATATTTTGAGTAAAAGGTTACAGAATAGATTCCCATTTAACAATTTTATACAAATTGTTCTGTGACATTGGTTACAATTTTCACAGTGTGTCAGCATTTTCATTATTTTCATGCTGTTTGTTCTTTTTCATTGATCTAGCTACCCTGCCCCTCCATGCCTTCTCATTTTTGGTTCTACATAAATGTTTGGTCGCATATACAGTTGATTGTTTAAGGGAGCACATTACTTAGGGGTGACACTGTTTATTTTATAGCAAATCTGTTAGATTGAAATAGCTTTAGTTGCAAGTTCAAGGGTTTTTATAGGTGATAATCTCAGAGGCTCTTACAGTCTCTTCAGTTCCAAAAGTCTATCCTTTTTTAGAAATTTAGATTTTGTTCTGCATTTTTCTTCCATTTTATCCAGACTTTATTCTATCATGTCCTTAATCATAATGGTTAGTTCAGTAGATTTTAAAGTGTTAATTTTAGCACTGACTCAGTTGAAATGAGTTACATTCTTTTCTTTTGGCTGATCTTGTCAAAAGCATTTTGATGGAATTGTGTTTGTCTTTATAATCCTAAGTGACAGTTTTTGCTAAGTTTGAGTCAGTCTTTGAGGTTAGTAAAATAAATTTTTGGATAAAATTACCAACTCCTGGGCATTCTTACAAGGCGCTCTGGTGGCGTAGTGCCTAAGGCATTTGACTGCTAACGAGAAGGTTGGTGGTTCAAACCCTTTGGCCACTCCGTGGAAGGAAGACTGGGCAATTACTTATGTGAAGATTTACTGCCTCAGAAACCCAAAGGGGGTTGCTATGAGTTGAAATCGACTTGATGACAGGTTTTGGGTTTTTTTTTTCCTTTTTTTTTTTGCATTCTCACCTACCTTTTATACAAAAATATGTATGTATTATTTAAAAAAAAAATTAAGCTTATTTTTTAGAATAAATTTAGCAACTCTTAGAATACTCTTGTTTTTTTTCTCTATTACATAAGAATATGTATTCATTATAACATGAAAAAATATAAACAGTAATTTTTATGATGGTGACTTAGCCTAAACTGAAATTATTTGGTTACTCATTTTAAAAAGAGGAAGAAGTGATTATTACTGGAGGACTCACAGCTGTCTATTTTATAATCTGATTGGGATTGGTTTTTAGTGTCTTTCAAACCTCTGACTTTATAATTTGTTCCTTTAGATAAAGATTATTTAAATTGTTTGATTTTCTTTTTTAAGTAGCTGGTTTAGAATTTACTAATAAGATTTTAAAATGGAGAAAAAGTAATACTAAGGAACTAATCCAAGGTTTTTTATTAAACCCAATTCTGTTGTATAAATTTGGAGTAATATTAGGCTATTAACTGAAAAATACCATTTCAGGGTTGGAAAAGGATTAGGTGCTCATAAGAGGTTCAGCTCCTCATCTGTTGGACTGATTAGTAAGACTTTCCTTTAGTCAGCAAGTTGTAAAAGCATATCCTAGTGTGCATCCTCAGCAAATGAGATTTGAAATTGTAAGCAAAAACTATTCTTTTGCATTCCTGTGTCCAGATGTCATCCTATACAACTTGCTGACTTAAACCAGTCTGGGATTTAGTGTGAGTTAACAGCTTGTTATATAGCAGGTGATAGGCTGACATTGCATTTGTCCTCCACAGGCAGCAGTTCCCCCAAGCAAACAGCCATCTTCATTAGCATCTCCAAATCCTCCCATGTCAGTGGGCTCTGAACAGGGCTTCCAGTCACCTCCAGCAAGTAGTAGTTCAGTAACCATTAACACAGCACCCTTTCAAGCCATGCAGACAGTGAGTATGAAATACAAATGAAAATCGTGGTTCATTATTCCTGTTAAACGACCATTGTTTCTCTTACATCTGTTATTGGATACTCTGTCAAAAATTGGACTTTTTTATTATATACTTACTTGGGTTGGTAGAATTTACCTTTGTCAGATAGAAATAATGGTTTGTGGCAGAAGAATATTAAATCCATAACCTGTAGAATTTTAAATGGATATTTTATCACAGCATTGTTCCCTCACTGACAATTGTTGTTGTTGTTATGTGCCGTCGAGTTGGCCCCGACTCATAGCGACCCCAGCAGGCAATACTGGAGAACTCATATTAAAAAATTGAAATGTATAGATGAGAAACAAAACTAGTATCACAGCAGTGGTGTTCCATACTATCAAAAACCTGAAATAAAGGACATACTCTAGGATGTTCTTTTTAAATCGTTGTTGAAACTTTTACTTTGTATCATCCTGATCTCATGCTGCTTCTTAGAGAAATGTTAAGTTTTTCCTGGTGTTTTGAATTATTTATTCCTCTACAATTTGTGTTTTAAAACATTTTTTGAGGTAACATCACAACTAGATGTGTATGTTTATTCTCTAAACATAGAATAGTATAAAACAATTCTTGAATAAAAAATTAAAAAAAAAACAAAAAACCCAAACCTTAGTGAACCGATAAGTACCTTTCCTAATGGTACCTCACGTCCTACTCAAGGTACTTTGGACTGATGGTGGGTGGCATCAGGAGGGTAGCTATGGAAAGCAGAGACAATGCAGGGAGGTAGGCTGGTCAATTTAGACACCTGAATTCATGAAACTTACTACTTCATGCTTAGCCAGTTAGAACATCATCTTAATTTCTTTGCTTTCTCTCTGTTGGTCCATCGTACACTGTATTGCCACATTGACTAGACTTTTTCTTATTTGTAGTTAAAAGTAATTAATTTATTACAGAATGAAATGAAAAGTTCTATGCCTGACAGTCAATACCTTTTGAAGCCTGGTATCTTACAAACTAGTCCCCCAAGCCTGTCTTAGACATTCTTGTCACAATACCTGTTTTGCCTCATACCAATCTGTCTTCTCTGCCTGTTTATCTTGTCCTATTCAAATTGGTTTTCATTAATTCAACAGTCAAGTAGTTATGGACCTAGGCAATGTTCTTAATTACTGGTAATGCAACATTTAAAGAGAGCCAAGTTTTTACACTCAGCTCAGATTTTAATATGGAGGTGGGGTGGCTACAGAAACAAATACTCATATTTATATATAAAATATGTTAGGAGGTATGTGCTGTGCGGGATAAGGGAGTAGAGAATTATAGTGTTATTATATGGTCTGGAGAGTAAATAGCACATTATTTTATTCACTTTTAGTATTTTTTTGAAAGGGTCTTCCTTTATATCACTTTTATTCTAAGTAACCATTGTTTTGATAACATAAGAGCAAAACGATTAACTTTTGCTCTAACGTTTAAATTCTGTCAGGAATCAAATAGAAGTTTTTGAATGTTTATAGAATTTAGCTGGATGTCACCCATAATCATTTTCTACGAAACTTGACAAACTACTCAGTGTACCTTTGCTTTTTAAGGTGTTTAATGTTAATGCACCTCTGCCTCCACGGAAAGAACAAGAAGTAAAAGAATCTGCTTATTCGCCTGGCTACAATCAAAGTTTTACTACAGCAAGTACACAAACACCACCCCAGAGCCAACTGCCAGCCATACATGTAGAACAAACTGTCCTTTCTCAAGAGACTGGTAAGATCTTTGTGACATTTTGAAGACTTACGTGACAACTCATGGAACAGAAAGCAGGTCTATAGTGACAATTTAGGAGTTCGTTCCTGACTAGTAAGCATTAGCTCATCACTTTTCTCAGGTTTCAGAAACACTTAATGACTTTTTCTGTATTCAATTAAGTTCATGAATTATTTCAACTTTTTGTGATTTAGGTGAAAGTTTACATAGCAAATTAATTATCCATTCAGTAATTCATACATAAAATGTTCTGTGACATTGGTTGCTATGTCTGGGGTGTGTCAGCACTCCCCCCATTTCCACTCTGGATTTTCCTTTTCCATTCATCCTGTTTCCCTGCCCCTACTTGCATCCTCATCTTTGCTTTTTGGCAGATGTTACCTTTTTGGTCTTGTATAGTTGAATGTTCTAAGGAGCACATTCCTCATGAATATTGTTTATTTTATAGGCCAATTTCTCCTATTAATTTTAACTTCTGTAGAGGTAGAACTTCTGGTGATTTAACCTTGAGGGTTGTATTTTTAATCTAGTTGCTTTGATCACCAAAGATGGTAATTGAAGTAGTACTTCATTCTTAATAAAAGAATAAATTGCAGATTTTTAGCATTGGTATTTCCAAGTCCTATTCAGTGGTGGGGTGATGTCACGGGCATCATACATGAAGACAGCAAAATGTCATTAAAAAGACAGGAAGGAAAGAAAAGGCCAAAATAGATGTCAGAAGAGACTCTGGAACTTGCTCTTGAATGGAGAGTAGCTAAAGCAAACAGAAGAAATGATGAAGAGAACTGAATAGAAGATTTCAGAGGACGACTTGAAGAAGTATTATGATGAAACATACAAAGACCAAGTTAGATAACCAAAAGGGAAGAACACACTCAGCATTTCTCAAGCTGAAAGAACGGAAAAAAAAAAAATTCAAGCCTCTCCTTGCAATACTGAAGGATTCTATAGGCAAAATATTGAATGATGCACAGTATCAAAAGAAGGTGGAAGGAATACACAGAATTGCTATGCCAAAAAGAATTGGTTTGACATTCAAGCATAACAGGATGTAGCATATGATCAAGAACCACTGGTATTGCAGGAAGAAGTCTAAGCTACACTGAAGGAATTGGCAAAAAACAAGACTCCAGGAATTGATCGAATAACCACTTGGATGTTTCAACAAATGAATGTAGGGCTGGAAGCACTTATTGTTTATGTCAAGAAATTTGGAAGGTAGCTCCCTGGCCAGCTGACTGGAAGAGATCCATATTTGTGCCACTGCAATAAAGGTGATCCAACAGAATGTGGAAACTATTGAACAATATCATTAATAATGACATGCAAGTAAAATTTTGCTGGGGGAAAAAAAATGGTTGAAGCAGTAAATCAGTGGGGAACTGCCAGAAATTAATGCTAGATTCAGATGACAACATGGAATGAGATATATGATTGCTGATGTCAGATGGACCTTGGCTGAAAGCAGAGAGTACTAGAAAGATGTTTACTTGTGTTTTATTGACTGTGTGAAAGCATATAATTGTGTGGATCATAACAAATTATGGATAACGTTAAGAAGAATGGGAATTCTGAAATACTTAATTGAGCTCATAAAGAATCTACATAGACCTGTACATAGGCTGTCATTAAACTAGAACAAGTAGATATTGCATCGTTTAAAATCAGGAAATGAGTGTGTCAGGGTTGTATCCTTTCACTATCCTTGTTTAGTCTGTATGCTGAGGAAATAATCTGAGAAGGTGGACTATATGATATGAAGAAGAATGCAACATCAAGATTGGAGGAAGACTCATAATAACTGGTGATATGCAGAACACACAAGCTAGCTTGCTGTAAGTGAACAGGACTTGAAGCACTTACTGATGAAGATCAGAGACCACAGCTTTAGTATGGATTACATCTCAACATCCTCACTACTGGACCAATAAGCAACATTATGATAAACAGAGAAAACATTGACGTTGTCAAGGATTTCATTGTCCTTGTATCCATAGTCAATGCTCATTGAAACAGCATTCAATAAATCAAGCAGCAGATTGCACTGGGTAAATGTTCAAAAGACCACTTTAAAATATTAAAAAGCAAAGACGTCACCTTGAGGACTAAAGTGCACATGACCCAAGCTATAGTATTTTCAGTCACATCATATGCATGCAAAAGCTGGACAATAAAGAAGACCAAAGAATTGATTACTTTGATTTATGTTAGCAAAGAAATATACTATAGACTGCCAGAATAAGTCTGTCTCAGAAGAAGTACAACTAGAATGCTACTTAGAAGCAAGGATGGTGAGACTTAATCGCATGTACTTTGGCTGTATTACCAGTACGCACCAGTCCCTGGAGAAGGACATCACACTTGGTAAAGTAGAGAGTGAGCAGAAAAGAAGACAACCCTTCATGAGATGGATTGGCACAGTGGCTACTATGGTAGGCTTAAACAGCAACAGTTGTGAGGATGGTGTAGGACTGGCCAGTGTTGTGTTTTGTTGTACAAAAGTTCACTGAGTAGGAACCGATTCAACACCTAACAACAGCAACATTGAGTTTTCTAAAATCTGAGTCTGAGTGAATGGAGCCTTCCAGGTATGTGGTTAATCAAGTGATGAAAAAGGTGGTAAATATAAACCTGGACCAGGCCACAAATGACCTCATTCTCTTCTCACCTGTACTATGAAGATAGGACAGGCAGTTTACATGAAGGATATTTTTGGCTTCTGATTCCTATTTACAATGTTCAGTAAAATTAAATTTCTTTTATTCCTTCGTCTGTAATATTTAGCCTGTTTTTTTTTAGAAAATTTACTAAAGGTTTAATGTACGGTGACTTTTAAGTACAAAAACTATTGAATCTTTATTACCATTTAACTCTTGGACTCTAAAACTGTTTCCTTAAGCAGCAAGTTATCATCCTGATGGAACTATTCAAGTAAGCAATGGTAGCCTTACCTTTTACCCAGCACAGACGAGTGTATTTCCCAGACCCTCTCAGCCATTTGTCAATAACCGGGGATCTGTTAGAGGATGTACTCGTGGTGGGAGACTACTAATCAACTCCTATCGGTCCCCTGGTGGTTATAAAGGTATGCTCTGAATAAAATTTTATATTAAATTATTTTGACTATAGTTACCTGACTCAAACTGTTTTTACGTTACCTTGTTCCCTTTGTCATTGTCATTTATATTATTTATAATTCCCTGTTTTGGAACTTTTTGTATGAAAGCAGATTCATCCTGTGACTTACTGAAGTAGGATAGTTGACCATCTTTCTTTTCAGAATTTCAGTATTTATTGACTACGTTCTTTCTTTTCTTTTTTAAACTTTTTATTGTGTTTTGGATGAAAATTTACAGAACAAATTAATTTTCCATTCAACGATTCATACACATATTGTTTCATATCATTGATTGCAATCTCCTTGATGTAACATCACTCATCCCACTTCCTCCCTGTGTTTCTCCTTTCTGTTCCTCCTCCTCTACTAAGCCTTCCTGCCTTCTGACCTTTGTCCTTGGGCAAATGCTGCCCTTTTGATCTCAACTGATTGATTGAGGAGTGCATAGCTCCCTAGTATTACTGTTTACCTTGTCTGTTGTTTGGCTGAAAAATGAGTTGTGAGGGTTAGTTCAGTTTCAGGTCCATAGGGTGTCTAAGCATCCTAGTCTCAGGGATTGTGTCTGTCTCTATCTGACCAGTAAGCTTGGTCTTTTTTAGGATTTTGAGATACCTTCTATACTTTTCTCCACTTTATCATGAACCTTTTAATGTGATCCCTTTCAGAGCAGTTTTTAGTTGTAGCTGGACACATCTTGTTTTTCAGGGGATGAATTTTTAATTTCTTTTGTTAATTGACCTACACTTCTCATATGTCTTAATTAGACAATGCCTATTTTCTACTGATTTGTCTATCAGATTATACCATTGATAAGAATGCAAGAGTTGAGAATATAATAGTCATTTTCTCTTAATTGTTCCCGGTATTCTATGTACTGCTTGGTATTAGTGAAAATGATCTAGAAAGAGCCTTAACTACCTAATTGCCCTACCACCACCCTTTTCCAGCTTCATCTTTGTTCCATGATAGGAAATGTCTAAAACGGGCCAATTTAAACATTGCTATCTTAAAAGTGTATGTTTTACTGTAGAAACAATATTAGTAACATTTGTATAAAGAAAGTATTAATCTAAGGATGGCATTATAGAATGAGTTGAACTTTTATAGCTAGTATAGAGTTAGACTATTTAAAAATCACAGTATAGTTTTGCTTACAATTTTATTTAAATTATTTGTTAGGTTTTGATACTTACAGAGGACCTCCTTCGATTGCCAATGGAAATTATAGCCAGCTGCAGTTCCAAACTAGAGAATATTCTGGAACACCCTATTCCCAAAGGGTAAGAATAGTTGTCATAATTGAATAGTGGCACAGTTGTAGTTAAACTCATGATTCAACTATAACCTGTCATAATTTGCAGAAGTTCATTCTTAGTTTCAGAGCTACTTGTAAGTGTCCTATGGAGGGTCTAGTTAGAAGCTTTTCCAATAACCCAAGAAGGATAAATGATAGCTGCCAGTTACATGGAACTTAAAAAGTGTTAAGGACTTTATTAATGATACTGTTTGCATTAACTCACTTTTCCACCCTATAAGAGAAAACTGGGTTCAGAAGTTAAATTCTTTGTCTAATGTCTTTCAGCAAATAAATGTCTACTGAGATTCTTAGTTCAAATTCTTCTAAGATTAGAACTTGAGTTCTTCACTACTTATAAAAAGGACATGGAGGTGGCATCCTTAGACCTCCTCCAACTTTACAAGGGGGAAACAGAGTCAGAATCAGCAGCCCCAATAATTATTTCTATGAGGCCAGACATGCCACTGCCTTCTAGCCTTTTTGCCAGTTCTGACACCAACTTTCCTTCCCACAGAATTCAGTACTTCTTTGCTGGGTTCAGTAATTTGTTGCAATGGCCACACAGAACTCACAGACAGTACTCATTTAGGTGGTTATGTTTGTGTGTCAACTTGGCTGGGCCTGGTTGTGTGGCTGGGCAGCTGTTGGTAGTTATTCCCCATGATGAGACTGGCAATCAACTCCATGGTGGGATCTACCACAAGCAGCTGAGTTGCTGCTTTGGGAATGTGGTCTGCTTCCTGTATATAAGAAGCAGCTTTGAGAATGGTCTCTAGCCTATGGCACGCTTGGACCCTGCCTGTAGCCGTGTTGTTCAGCAGCCTGCCATGCTCTGCCGACCTTGGGTCTTACAGTGGACTTAAATTAATGGCCTGCCATGTGGTTTGGTAACATCAGGATTGTGCCATTTTATTTGTCAACCTTGGGCTTCTTAGCCTCAGCAGCCAGCAACTGTCTGAGTGAAGAAATGCCTCTAGCTTCAGCTGACCGGGAGCTGGAGATAGAGCTGAAGCCCAAAACTGAGGGGCTTTCACCCAGCCCCTAGAGCCTGGCACTTTGAACTTGGACTTAAAGCCTCCAAATTGTAAGAATAAACTCCTGTTTGTTAAGGGCATCCCATTTGTGGTATATTCTTGTCAGAGTGGCACTAGGTAACCATAACACTCATTATTATGAGGTTTATTAGAGGAGTAACAGGCTGTAATTCAGGTTCAGGAATACACTCAGGATACAATTCTTTGATCCGGACAGTCTCCTCTTTTAGCTGTATCCTCAGGTATGCCTCTCTGGCCCTTGGCCTATCAGCCTGGCATTTGCCCTGCTCGGGCAAGTGTTAGAAAGCTCTTTTAGCTCTGCCAATAGGTATACCTATGTGTACCCCACTCTGCCAGCAGGTGTCCTGCCAAAAGGCACTCAGCTTTCTTGCTCTGTGGGCCAGGTAAGCCTGTCACTCTGTCTCGTCCCTCTTGGTTCCACTGCCACTGTGTCTCTGCTGGGTATCTCTGCCAGTGATGTCCAGGACAGGGATCTTGGGTCCAAGGATGCCCTTCACCTCCTCTAACAAGCTATCCAATCTCCTTGGTTGGCCACAAGCACCTCATATTTGTGTAGTTCCACCCATTCATCTGGTGGGAATCACAAAGACTGTGGCTAGCAAAGCCATTTTAAGTAATTCAGTTCACCACACTACTAACTATATTGCCTTCAACCTGATTTGCCTAGAAGCTCTGGTGGCATAGTGCCTAATGCATTTCACTGCTAACCAGAAGGCTGGCGGTTCAGATGCACCAGCCATTCCTCTGAAGGAAGATTGAGCAATCATATTAAGTATAGCAAATATTAAGTCTAATTTTTTGTTTTTTCTGATTTGAATAGTTCAGTAGATTTCTTTACTATGTAGGGTAAAAGTATGATAGGTGGATGTTGGACATTTCACTTCGATAAACTTTGCAAACTTCCTGTCATTGGTCATATATAAATACATATATATTAGCATTTTTAATTTTGAAATTTAACAGCCTTTAAGTATGTATGTTCATGCTGTTGTGTGTGTTGTATGCTGAGTTCTGTTGGTAACATACAAGTACCTGTACTTAAAGAACTTAACTGTTGTTTTGGAATCAGAATGGCTTAGATTTGACCTCTAATTTCCCCACTTTTACTGTGTGGCTTTGAGCATATTACTTAAATCTTCTGAGCTCTAGTTCCTTATCTGTTAAATGTGGACTCATGTCTTGAAGAGTAACTCATGTAACTTTGAGGTTTTGTGACAATTACATTGACGTTTCTGAGGATTAAATGAGCTATACAAGTAACATGCAGTGCTGGGGTGTAACACATCAGGTATACAAATAGCTGTTATTACATCCTCTGAAAATATGAGTGAAGGGAGGGTATAGGTTAATAAAACTGAGTAATGGAGTTAATCCTTTTTTTAAAAAAAATTTTATTGCGAAAATACAAATAGCAAAACATTTGCCAGTTCAACAATCTCTATATGGAACTAGTCTTAACACCAATATTTCAGTATTATTGTGTGCTGCTTTAAATTTTTTCCTGAGGAAACATAAGAAATGGATAATTATACTTGGTATTAGGAAAGAAGACTGAGAGTCTGTGTGATACTTTCTTTAAAATCATTTTTATTGTATACCTTCTTGTCCTGTTTAAATTTCTTATAGCACATATTAATTTTTTAATTACAACTTAATTATTCTTTTCATGGGTTGTATGGACTCCGCTTCCTCTATACTTGGGAGTCACTATGAAGTGCTATCTTGAACATTTCATAATATGCTGGACATTTCCTAGCAATAAATACATTTATATGATACAATTCTTACCAATCTTCCTCCCTTCCTCCCTGCAAAAAAAGCCAGCATAGTTTGTAATTGTGTAAGCCTTCACAGTTTGATCTATAAATAGAACAAGATTGAAAAAGTCTCTTTTGCCTTATAGATCTCTTTTATATTGAGATGAAGGATAGAGGACCATGCCATATTTCTGAATTCCCTTCATATATACTGTCCTGTAAATGCTTTGTTTTCAGAAATATTAATGTATCTAATTGATTAGGTGAATTAGTAGATGACATAAGTATTGCTGCTATTGCCCTTGCTTTATTTGTTTTTCTTTGAATCTGGAAATATCTGAGTCTCATTGCTTGCTGGAGAAGGTCAGATGAAGGACTAGGAGAACTTTAATCTTACAAGTTTATCATCTAAAAATCCTGAGTAAAAACTAATTGGTAGTACTGTATTAGTGTGTTATTGCCATAGGAAGCACTATTTTGATGCTGTGATAAATGTTGTATGTTTACTTTAGGAAAATTTCCAGCAATGTTATAAGCGAGGAACAACATCTGGTGGTCCACGGGCAAATTCAAGAGGTAAGTATAGTTAACTGAGTTGTTTATGTATCGAAACATACTTCTAAGCCTTTATGCATTCTGTTTCAAAGCACAGTGCTTTCAGCATTTATCTTGTTAAGGTTTTGTTTGCTTAAATGTAGTATTGAAGTATTGAGAGAGGACAACTAGAAAGGCTATGGAAACCATTAGTCATTTTAGTCAGATGTGTGTATGTGACTTTTTAAAATTTGCTTGACAGATTTTTGTAGATATTTATTCGGAGTCCCTGGGTGATACAAACAACTAATGTACTCAGCTGCTAATGTAAAGGTTGGAAATTTGAGTCTACCCAGAGGCACCTCAGAAGAAAGGTTTGACAATCTACTTCTGAAAACACAACTATTAAAGACCCATGAGCACAGTTATACTCTGAAACACATGAAGTCACCCTGAGTTGGAGTTAAGGTGGTAGCAACTGGTTTTTAGATATATTTTCACTAAGCTGACTTCAAATAATTTCATACCATGTTTCAGGATGATTGTTTTTATAATAATGGGTGCTTCTAGAGACTTTGGACCCTTGGTGGCTGAGTGGTTAAATGACCTAAAGGTTGTTGATTTGAATCCATTAGCTGTTCCATGGGAGAAAGATACAGCATTCTGCTTCCATAAAGATTATAGCCTTAGAAACCCTTTAGGGCAGTTCTACTCTGTCCTATAGGGTTGCTGTGAATTAGAATTAAATTGATGGCTGTGGGTTTAATGAATCTAGACACTCTAGTGTCACTATATTGATGTGACTATGCAACAGTTAAGGCACAGTGACTTGAAACAAAAGAAAATGCTTGTAACACTTTTTAAAATGTGAAGGGACTTTTAAAACATCCAGTGAAACAGAAAAATGAAGAATTACTGAGGGTTAACTAATTTCACTGCAGGGAAACAGATTTCTCTCCTTTTGAGAAAGTAAGCCAGTATTCATATTGCCTTGCTTTATTTTTGAGGAATGTTTTTGAATGTCACTTAAAACAGTAAAATTTCATTATGCCACATTAACTTGGAAATAAAGAACAGATATTCATTATATGGCACTCAGTAGCCTAGCAAAATATCTCTGAATGGCCAAAGTCTAGGAATTCTAAAAGTTGGTTCTTTTATGTAGTCTGTTTTCTTGACTCCTTCTATATTAGATCCTTTGAGTAGAAGAGTAGGCACTGAGGAATTAAGAACTGAGTAAGAAATGTGGGCGAAAGATAAAGGAGTATTCAAACCTGGGATTTAAACTTTACTAACCATAACTTTGGTAAGTTATCCAACCTTTAGAGGGCTCCTTTTTATTAATCTAAAAAAAAAAAAAAAAAAAATGAGGCTATTACACCAGATTATCTAGGTCCCTTTTGGCTTTAGAATAGTAATATAAAAGCCTTCTGCCAGAAAAATTTGGGAAAGCCTAATCTAGCCATACTTTCTTGCTTTGCTTTTTTTGAATTTACTATAATATGTATCTTTATCTGTGTTCCAGTAGCCAACTAATGTTAAATATTGTGTTCAAAGCTAACTGCTTCATTATGAGAAACTCACTGTTGCTAATAAAACAGCAGGGTGGAGTGATTCTTCTCAGGTGAGCAGCCCAGAAAGAGACAACGAAACCTTTAACAGTGGTGACTCTGGACAAGGAGACTCCCGCAGCATGACTCCTGTGGATGTGCCAGTGACAAATCCAGCAGCCACCATACTGCCAGTACACGTCTATCCCCTGCCTCAGCAGATGCGAGTTGCCTTCTCAGCAGCCAGAACCTCTAATCTGGCTCCTGGAACTTTAGACCAACCTATTGTGTTTGATCTTCTTCTGAACAACTTGGGAGAAACTTTTGATCTTCAGCTTGGTAGATTTAATTGCCCGGTGAATGGTACATATGTTTTCATTTTTCACATGCTAAAGTTGGCAGTGAATGTGCCACTGTATGTCAACCTCATGAAGAATGAAGAGGTCTTGGTATCTGCCTATGCCAATGATGGTGCTCCAGACCATGAAACTGCTAGCAATCATGCAATTCTTCAGCTCTTTCAGGGAGACCAGATATGGTTACGTTTGCACAGGGGAGCAATTTATGGAAGTAGTTGGAAATACTCTACATTTTCAGGCTATCTTCTGTATCAAGATTGAAAGTCAGTATAGAATTGACAATAAAAGGAAGGTGTTCTCAGTGGTGGATTAAAGGAAAAGTAGTCCTTGCCTTCACTACTCATTGGCTTAGGAAAGTGTTTTCATTCATAGAGGGAAAGAAGAAGTCCTTACTTCGCCTCCCCCCCCCAGGTTTAAAATTTCAAGCTGAATGACAATTAGCACTAATCTGGCACCTTATAAATTGTGATGTAGCCTTGCTAGTCAAGCTGTGAATGTATATTGTTTGCACTTAATTCCTTAACTGTATTAATGTTCAGCTTACTAAACTGATTGCCTAAAGTTCAGGCAAGTTACAATGCCTTGTTGTGCCTCAATAATAATAAAAAAATTATATGCATCTTCAGTGTTCCTATTTGATTAAACATTTAGAGATAAAATATCTTAATATTTTAGTATTAGTCACTGATAATTTTTTTTAAAAAAATTTTTATTGTGATTTATGTGAAAGTTTATAGAGCAGATTCATTTTCCATACAGCAGTTCATACACATTTTGTTTCATGACATTGACTTCAATTCCCCACAGTGTAACAACTCTCCACTTCCTCCACAGTTACCTCTATCCGGTGTCATTCTACCCTATGCATTCCTGCCCCAAGCCCTCTTCTTGTGCAAACACTGCCGTTCTATTGGCCCATGATTTTTTGCTCCAAGTAGTGTATCTGTCTGATGTAAATGTTCACCCCATATGTCTGTCTATTGTTTCACTGGAAGCCACATTTTCACCCCATATGCCTGTCTATTGTTTCACTGGAAGCCACATTTTTTTAAGTGATTTTGAGTTTTGTTCCACATTGTTGTTCTCCCACTTTATCCAGGATCTCCTGCACTGATCTCCCTCCAAGTGGTTGACAGTGGTAGGCAGGCACCATCTAGTTCTTCTGGTCTCATGGCCATATAGGCTGAGGATCACGTGGTTTACTAGTCCCTTGGACTAATTGTTTCCATATGTCTTTATGTCATTAATAACTCTTGAATGGTTATTTATTCGTGGGCTCATTTTAAATAATGCTTTTATATATAACACCTTCTTCTAAGGTTGCTTTGATGTTATACATGTGACTTATTAAATGATTTGATCTGTTTTCTCTGGGCCAAATCACACATAGTCTTTGAATACATTCTGCTGTTTGTCAGTAGAGCACACGTCATCCTTTAAGTCAGTCGTCTTAAGAGTATCGACTACATGTGTAATAATATAAGATGATATTGTTAGGGGCTGTCGAGCTGGTTCTGACTCATAGTCACCCTAAAACAACAAAAAAAATCAACCTCGCTGCCATTGAGTTGATTCTGACTCATAGCAACCGCCTTTGGGTTTCCAAGGCTGTAAATCTTTACAGAAGTAGATTGCCCAGTTTTTCTTCTGTGGAGTGGCTGGTAGGTTTGAACTGCCAACCTTCTGGTTAGCAGTCAGACGCCTTCGGCTCTATGCCACCAGAGCTCTTTCATAGCCACCCTGTGTACAACAAAAACAAAACACTGGCCAGTCCTGTGCCATCCTCACAAACATTGCTGTGTTTGAGCCCATTGTTAAGAGCTACTGTGACAGTCCATCTCCCTGAGGGTTTCTTCTTTTTCACTGACTCTGTGAATATACAATAAGGGATATAGTGTACCAGGTAATCTGGTCCACCCTCTGTAAGGCTTACGCTTTCTAGTGGATTCTTAGTTTAATTAAGAAGGGAAAATACTTAGTCATTAAAGAACATAGGCTCTTTGGTCAGACAGTGCTGTATTTGTGTTCTGATTCTGCCGCTAGGAGCTCTGGTAGCATAATGCCTAAGGCACTTGACTTGGCAGTTCAAACCCACCAGCCACTCCTAGGAAGGAAGATGGGGCATTGTACTTTCATAGTGATTACTACCTCGGAAACCCAAAGAGGGGTTGCTATGAGTCGGGTCCAACTCATTGGCACATTAACAACAAGAAAACATGCAGTATAGTAGGTATTGCCAGAGTTTAGTATTCATTCTAGACATATTTGTAACATTTTATCATACTTGGCAACTTAAGCTTTTATACTTTATAGTTATTTACTACATTGATAATACTTCTTATTTATTTAAAAAAAATAATTTTGAAGAATGAGCCTTTGAATTGTAATATTCAGCAGCCAGGTTTGAGAAGGCCATCCTTAGCTTTTTTTTTTTTGTGATTTGAGTGAAAGTTGACAGCAAATTCACTTCCATACAGCAGCATGCATACACTTTGTCTCATGATGTTGACTGCAATTTCCCACAGTGCAACAGCTCCCCTCCCATTTCCTCCCCATAGTTACCTCTTCCTTGTGTCTTTCCCTCCTGTGCACTCCTGCCTGTGGCGCTGTCTCACTGTGCATATACAGCCCTTCTATTCTCCCAAGATTGTTCTCTCCAAGAAGTGTATTCACCTAATGTAAATGTTTAGCTCATATGCCTGCCTTTTGTTTGGCTGAAATCCATGGTAGTGGGTTCAATTCCAGACCTGAAGGGCAGCTAGGGGGCATAGTCTCAGTGGTTCCATTAGGCTCTATCAGACCAGCAAACCTGGTCCCATCTTTTTTTTTTAAATTGTGGTTTGGGTGAAAGTTTGCAGAGCAAATTCACTATCCATACAGCAGTTCACATATACTTTGTCTCATGTCATTGACCACAGTTTACCACAATGCAACAGCTCTCCTCCCACATCCTCCCCATAGTTACGTCTTTCCAGTGACCATCCCTCCATACACTCCTGCCCCCTGAGCTGTTTCCCTGTGCATAAGCAGCCCTTCTTTCTCCCATGATTGTTCTCTCCAAAGAGTGTATCTACTTGAGGTAAATGTTTAACTCATAGCCTGTATTTTGTTTGGCTGGAAACCACAGGTGTGGGTTCAATTGCAGACCTGAAGGGCAGCTAGGGGCCATAGTTTCAGTAGTTCCACCAGCAAGCCTGGTCCCACCTTTTTTTTTTTTCCTCCAAACGGTTTTGAGTTTTGTTCCACATTGTTCTCCCTCTCTATCAAGGATCTCCTACATAGATCCCCTTCCAAGCGGATGACAGTGGTAGCCAGGTACCATCTAGTTCTTCTGGTCTCATAGTTGTATAGTCTTCAGATCGTATGGTGTACCAGTCTCTAGGACTAATTGTTTCTATGAA